CTACTCAGGACACCCCCGGGGCAGCCTGCCTGCTCTGGGCTCCCATTGCCCCGCGGGTACTGAGAGGGTTCTCCAAGAGTAGCCAGTGCTCTTACGTGGCGACCAGCTGAGGGGTCTGCCTGCAGAAATGAACAGAGCCCTGACCAGTCGGGCTCAGTGGGTTGGGCGTTTGATTCCTGGTCAGTTGCAGGTTCAATCCCTGATCTGGGCGCATGTAAGAGGCATCCAGTTGATGTTTCTCATATCGATGTTTCTCTCCCTCTCTTTCTACCTCTCCCCTCTCTAAAAATAAATAAACAAATAAATAATTTTTTTAAAGAAATAAATTGACAATCTGGCATGTCCCCAGTCTCAGACTGCCTTCACTCAGAGAGGATCCTAAGAACCCTCTGCCCTGCATAGCGTGTTTCAGTTTATAAAAGATGTTCCTCCCCCTGAGATAGGCGCGGGCAGGGCAGGGCAGCCTTTCAAAGTGCAGCAGCCACCTCCACCCACCTGGGCGGCTTTATCCCAGGATTCTGAGCTGTTGTCTTCGCTGCAGGCAGCGCTTGCTGAGAGCCCCTGACCGACTGGCTGTTTTACTTGTCTGTCCACCGGGATGTCGGCCCCGTGTGGACAGGGAGCCGGTCCTGTTCACTGCTGTGTCTGCAGCACCTAGAACAATGCCTCACCCTTAGGAGGTGCTGGTTTTCATTACAGTCCTGGGTGAAGGGATAAAACGGCAGACAGATGCGTGGGTAAGTGTAACCCAGTTACCAATGTCGTGTGCTAAGTAAGCACTGGGCGCTGGGCTGGCACTTTGGTAGATCATGACTGCTTTGGCAGAAATGCCATTACCCTCCTGATTTTGCAGACCAGGGACCCGAGGCTTGGAGAGAGGAAGCCACCGCCCCCAGGTACGGAGCTACTGAGCGACAGAGCCAGGTGTTAGACAGCCAAACCTACGTCCTTAACCATGCCACCAGCTGACACCTCCCTCTATTACCACAGAGAGGTTGAAGCCATTGGAAGGGAAGAGTTGAGACTCAGACATATTGATTCCATTTATAAAAATATCCAGAATGGTGCCTGGGCTGGTGTGGCTCAGTGGATTGAGTGCTGGCCTGCAAACTGAAAGGTCACCGGTTCGATTCTTGATCAGGGCACATGCCTGGGCGGTGGGCCTGGTCCCCAACTGGGGATGTGTGAGAGGCAACGATCAAGGTATCTCTCTCATATCAATGTTTCTCTCCTTTTACTTCTCTCTCCCTTCCCCAAAAATCCAGAATAGGGAACTCTATAGAGGCAGAAAGCAGATTACTGGTTGCCTGTAAGGCTGGAGGCAGGGAAAGTTGGGGAAAATGAGTGAACGCTAACGACTACAGAGTTTCTTTGGGGGGTGATGGAAATGTTCAAAAATTGATCGTGGCAATGGTTGCACAACTCTGTGGATATACTAAAACATTAAATTGTCCATTTTAAATGGGCAAACTGCATGGTATGTGAATGACATCGCAATAAACCTGTTATTGAAAAAAGTGTTTGGGCTCAGGAATCTCACCCCTGCCACTTACCTGCTAGGCAAATCACGTCGCGTCTCTCAGACTCAGCTTTCCAAGCAGTAAAATGGGAAAAATAAATGTCTCCTGGGGTACGTGTGAGCATTAAGTGAGACAGTATATGCCATTATCCCCATTTTATTAAGGAGGAAACTTAGGCCCAGAGAAGGGCAGCGACTCGGCCCAGGATGCACGCTGCAGGGTGACAGGCAAAGGGCTGTGGCCTGGGTCTCCTGGCACTGCTGCTGCTTTGAGCATTCTGTGCATGGGGCCAGGGTCTGTGCGCCCACTCGCTGCCACCGCCTCCACCGCTCCGGGCCATCCTCCTCCTCCTCCTGGGTCCTGAGGCCCCGTCGCCCCACTGGCCATGCCTGGCGGGCACACCAAGGCGTCCAGATTCCCCCAGAGCGCAGGATGTCCTCTCCCCAGCCCCCACCCTGCTTCCCTCCAGGGGCCACGATGCTGTCTTGCTTTTGCTTGTAATAAAGAAAATATTTCAGCTACCCTTCCACAGTTGCTTGGCAACCCCAAAGGGGGGTGGGGGGAGCAAAGGGGAGGAGGGGAGGGAGAGGACTCTGGAGCCAATCTGGAGACAAAGAGTAGGATTTGGGTGACATGGAGCCTGTTCTTACTGCTAACCTGGCCTGCCTGGGATGGTGGGTGGGGGCGGGGGGCTTCCTCCCACCCCAGTGTCTCACACCAATAAATATGGATTAGGGAAATGGGCAGAGTTTTTCCCACGGGCCTGAAAGGCCACATCTGACCTTTCTACCCCCTTTATGTACCAACGTGACAGTCAGAGAGAGCAAAGAGCAGGACCCCCTGAGATGCCTCCCCCATGGCCTTCTGACTCGGGGAAACTTTTCGCCCTCCTCCTCCCCCTGGTCCCAGACCAGGTCACGGCCCTGCCTGGCCCCTGTCCCAGGGATGAGGAGGCGGCTGGTGTTCAGGTGGGAGCCAGGGGCCCCAGCCTCGGGGTCCACCTCGGGCCCTGCCTGCTTCGATGGCACAGAGCCAGGCGTGGGGCGGCGGAGGGGGCCCTGGGCCAGCCCGGAAGGGCGCTCCCCGCCTCCGGTGCCAGCATCTGCCCCGTGGGTCCCGTGCTGTGCCCCGTGTCCCCTGCCCACCTCTGCCTGGGGCCTCCTCCAATAGCAGCCCTGTTCTCCCCGAGTCCCTTCTACACCCCACTGTTCTCGCTTTCCCCACCTCACTTCATGCCCTCTTCTCCCACCCCCGCCTTCTCCGTTTGCTTGCTCTCTGTCCCTCTCCTCCTCTGGGGTGGGCTCCCTCTGCTTCTGTCCTCCCCTTCTGTGGTTCCCCACCATCCCCCCCGCCAAGAAAAACTAGGAAGCCCTTAAAGATAACAGTCCCCAGAGTGACAGGAGGGGCTGTGAAGGGGGGTGAGTGGTGATCTCTCCCCCTGGTGCCCTGGCTCACTGGCCACTGGCTGGGGGTGGAGAAAGGCCGCTCTGAATGGAGTCAGTGTAGAGACAGGAAAAGCAAACACCGCAGCCTGGGCCACGCCGGCCTGTTGGGGCGGGGGCGGGGGCTCCGTGGGCAGGATGGGGCAGGGGCCTGGGCTCATCTCAGCCTCCCTCCATCAACCCTCTCCTGGCCCCTCAGGGCCCATGGCTTCCTGGACCTTTGCCCCACAGTGCCCAGAAGGGGAATGGGTTTAAGGGCTGGGGACAAATTCTGTAAGAAACACCTTCACCCTTTCCCAGGAACCATTTCCTGTCCCACCGGCCCGCCCCCAGCCTTCTTGCCCAGCAGATGCCAGGAAAGTCTGTGCCCAGGAAGGGCCGCCTGGCACCTGCGGGCCTGCCTGCCCAGCCCTTCTCAGCAGCAGGAACTGGGTGGGGAGTCAGCTTGTGCCAGAGACGGGCCCAGCCGCGCCGTCCGCCTTCCCGGGCCGAGGGGGACCCCAGTGTGCTCTGCCCAGGTGAGCGCTACTCTGTCCGGCAGGCAGGCAGTGAGGGGGGGTGACACTGGCCTTTAGTGGGACTCCCTGCACCCTCCGTGAGTCCCTGAGAACCTGAGACATTTTCCATTGGGCTGTCCTGCCCTCTGTCCAGGGCGCATGTGACACAGGCAGTTGGGCGAGGAAGCCGAAGGGATGGTTCAAGAACCTGGAGGCAGAGTCGGCAGGGAGGGCGCGTTGCGTGGGGGGAGACAGGAGGAGCTGGAGTCGGGAGCAGGACTCTGGGATTCCAAGCCGGCGTTTGGACTAGACTTGAGGGAACCTAGAGATGCCTGTGACGGTCTCCTTTGAGCCCTTTGGATTCTAAAGGACTTCTGGAAGGAGCTCAAGAGGGTTAGCGACTCATCCTGGGTGACACAGCAAGCTGGCAGAACAGGGACTCAAACCACCTTAAGACGCCGAGGGCTGTGCGGTTTGTGCTCTGGACACCACGCTTGGCCACCTCTCCTTCCCTCTCCGCGTACAGTTTGGTCCCTCGGATTTAAGGGCCAGGGGCAGACACTGGGCAGTGCCTCCTGGGACCGCTGCCTCCTTCTGCCCTCTCGGCACCACACCTAGAGCTGGGCAACCCTGCTCAGGCCCCAGAGAAGCTACGAGCTCCTCTAACTGTGTCTAGGAAGCCGCAGTTGGCCTTTGCCTACGGATCCCAAAGAACAGGGCCCCTTGGCTCTCAGCGTCTAACCAGAGTCCCCCACGTGCTGCAGTCGAAGCCCATCCCCTGCCTGGAAAGCAGGGTCAACAGCTGACTGTATGCCACAGCGCCCTGCAGTGCCCACCTTGAGGCGTCCTGGCCACAGGACCTGGCGGGGAGGACCTTGCCGAATAACAACAGGCAGCACTTGGAGTCGGGGCTGTTCTAAGGCCTTCCCTGTTCGCCGAACGGTCCCCACACTCCTCTAAGGCGGGTTCAATTGCTCAGATTGGAAAACCGAAGCACAGAATGTCGAGATAACCTGTCCACGGACACACTGCTGGGAAAAACCTAGTTGGCTTTCGAACCCATAGCCTGACTCCAGAGCCCTGGGTCCTTAAATGTCCCTTGTCCTGCCTCTGATTCCTAAGAGGTCTCCGCTAGAGGTCATCGCATCCAATCCCCTGCATCTGGGTGTCTGCCCCGGCCAACCTCTGCTCACAGGCGAGAATCAATCTCGTTTTTAAAGGCACCTGCTCCAAGGGTGGAATTCCCCCTGGGGGTAATCAGACATTTATTTATTCATAGCCTTCTGGCTGGGAGAAGAGACCCTCCCACCCAGAAGTCACCCGAGTCCAGCTGCCTCCTGGCCTCCCTCTCCTTCCCACTGCGGTGCCATCAATCAGACGGGAACCACCCTGCTCGCCTCTCAGCGCCCCTGCCCGCCTGCGGTGTGGGCCTGGACAGCTGACCCAACCTCTCTGAGCTTCAGGTATCAGCTGCAACTGGGGTTAATCATACGCCTGCTGCTCTGTGAGGTTGATGAGATTGACTGTTGAAAGAGGGTGAAGAGACAATACTTTTAGGGGTCATTTCCGTACAGTTTGTTACTGGAGAAGTGTCTCTGAACGTGCAGAGCGCCGGCCACCACAGGGAGGAGGCACGGCATTCTCTCCTGAGCGTGAAGCTGGCTCTGGGTGCTGCTTCTGCTGCTCTCATTTGCCATTGATAATCTATCGTCCTTCTCTTCCTTTGGGAGAGTAGAGGGAGAAGATGTCATCTGAGTTAAAAAAAGGACGAAGGCCAGGAAACCGTTAGTGATTGCAGCGCCTGGCTCCTGTGACGTGCTCAGAATGGAGAATACTTATCACCATCATCATCATCATCATGTACATGCTTCTGCCTGCAAGGGCTGAGCCTCCAGCCTGTGGCCTTAGAGTTCAGCCTCCTTATTACGGATAGGAACACTGAGACCCAGAGTGGGGGACTTGTTAGGGTCACATAGCAAATGGGTGGTGGAGAGGAAGCTGCTCTCGGCCTCCCCGCCCCTCCCCCCCATGAGGATCTCTGTCTCTTCTTCTCCCGTTTCCCCTCCAGTCCTCAGCCGGCTTCCCCGCGGTCAGGCCTGGCACCCTGTCCCCCAGGCAGAGCCCAGGAGAGAAGCGAGCAGAGCGTGGAGCAGTGGGCCTGGAGCCCCTGCGCCTTCTCAGCCCTGGCTCTTTGTCTGCCGCTTTGTGATGGTAAGTGCTGCTCCTAAATCAGTTCTGTGACACTGTTATTGTTGCCCAGGGCGCGAAGAGTCTAAACTTTTCCCCTGAGGTCAAGAATGTGGCCAGTCCCCAAGCCGCCTGGAGCAGGGGCCTAGGTGGCTGGGGGTGGGGCTGGGGCCTCACCCCGAGCTGGGTCGAGATGTGGTGGGGAGGGGGTCAGCGGGAACAAAACGCTTTGAAATGCCTCCTCTCCATCACTGCCAACATTGTCCGCTGCCCACAGGGGGCCTGGCACCGCCTCGCCGGGGCTCCGGCCCCCAGCCCTGGCCAGGCCCGGCCCGGCATCTGAAAATGGACAGAAGGTTATTGTCCCTCCTTGCAGTCCTTTGTCTGCCCCAGTTCCAGATGTCTAGGCTGGGACCAGGGAGCTGACCCATGGTGGGCAGGGGGGAGGGGACAAAGGGGGAGAGCACGGGTCACTGCATCCTGAGGGGTCGTTCCCAGACCCTGAGATCCCACCCAGCCATGGCCCAGTCACCTTCTGGGCTGTCTCAGCCTGGGGATTGTCCCTGTTCCCTTGTCCCTCCTCACCGTCCACCAGAGCAGGGTCCAGCCTCAGGAAGGAAGGCCCCAGGGGTGCAGAAGTTAGGAGCAGGGCATAGCTCCTGTAGCTCTACCTGGTGACTGTGCTCTTGGGTGGGTTGTGCCCCTCTCCCAGCCTGCTGTCCCCCGTAGGTCCCACTGTGTCAGGGTTCACTCATTCACAAAGTAACCGCAGAGCCCTCCCGTGTGCCAGCTCTGTGCCGGGCACAGGGCTGCACCGAGGTAGGCGGGCCACACCAATGCTTCCTGCTTGTGGTTAACGGTTATAATAATAAGGGGCACCGTTCCCACCCACTTTCTCCATGTTGGGTGCCTTGCTGACCACTTTAGCTGCGTTATCTCGTCCTCTTCCCAACAAAACTGAGGACACAGTAGCTACGTTCTTAGGTCCATTTTCCAACTTTGGACACCGAGACTCTGCGAGGTAAAGTCTCTTGCCCAAAGTCAGGCTGCCAGGAAGCAGCAGAGCCGGGATCCGAGCCCAGGCTGACTGCCGCCACCAAGAGGAATGATCTGCTAATAAATACTTGGAAGGTGTTGCCTGGCGCAGCTCCGGACTCAGCCTGCAGGAGTTGGTGGTGGTGACGATTCCACCCACCGGCTTTCCCATTTCATGGATGGTGGTGCTGAGGCCCAGACCAGGGAAGGAAAGCCTAGGGTTAGGAACTTGGGGACACCTAAATATCAACGCCAACAGTGATTCTGGAGCCACCGGGGCTGGCCAGAGAGAGGCAGGAAGTCCAGTTTCAAACCCCAACTCTGTGTGAGTTTGGCTAACTGACGTGGAATCCCACACCTTGGTGTCTTCATCTATAAAATGAAAATATTCCCTACTACCCTGGCCAGCATGGCTCAGTTGGCTGGAGCACCATCCCATAGACTAAAAGGTCGCGGGTTCGATTCCCAGTTAGAACACATAACCAGGGTGCAGATTCGGTCCCTGGTCAGGGTGTGTACGAGAAGGTGACCAATAGATGTTTCTCTGTCTCTGTCTCTCTCTGTTCCTTCCTCTCTCTCTTTCTAAAAGCAATGAGAAAATGATCTTGGGTGAGGATTAAAAAAAAGAAAAGAAAAGAAAATATTCCCTACTTCCCAGGGCTGTTGTGAAAATTAAGTCAAATCATACACCTAAAGCACTTAGCACCATGCCTGGCACACAGCAGTCATTTAGCGACAGCTGTTATTATTATTGTTCCAAACGGGGTAACATGTATCCCTTTGAACCTTCCTCTCACCTGGGGTCACCTGAGGACAAAGCTCTGTTGAGGGGAGGGGGGAACGTTAGCAGCTGTTGATGGAGACGAGGATAGCAATGCTTGGTCTTCTTGGGGTCTCTAGGAATCTTGTGAGAAGATACCCCTACGGGGCTGGGAGTGGGGGAGGCAGAAGGGATGGGCTGCAGGGTGGTGGGGGAGGGGAAGGGGCTGCCTGGGCCCAGAGGAGTTAACAGCTCCGGGGCCCTGGCCCAGCGGCTGCCACGCTGCAGCCCAGCCACAGCAACGGTTTTAGCCGAGGAGCCAGGGCTGCTTCCTGATGGGCAAAACAGCTGGCTGCCCGTGGAAAACAGCTGGCCCGGCCCCAGCCCCCTGCAGGAGAACGGAGGCAGAGCCTCAGAGGACAGCTCCACTTCTTGGGTCCCGGAGAGGAAGGCCTGGCCAAGAGGGAGTCCTCGGCAGTGGGTGTGGGCGTGGGGTGGGACCGCGGGAGATGAGGGCGCGTGGGCAGATTCCCGGAGGAGAGGCCAAGGTACGCTAGCTAGGTCTGAGCGGAGTGGGCAGGGTGACTCCAGTGGGGCTTGGGGGGCTCTGTCTCCCCTCAAATAGGAAAGATGAGAGGCAGGGGAGCAGATGGGGGGCAAGCCTGCGCTCAGCCCTGGGTCCTTGGCGGACCGGGCTTGGAGCTGGAGGTGGGAGGGAGTCCAGCCGGGGCTCCTAGACTCCTATCTGCCGAGCTGCACCCAGGACCAGAAGTGGGGTGTGGGCCCGTCCTCTGGCCAGGATCTGGGGCTCCCTTGGCCACAAAGCAGGACAGGGGCCCACAGAGCCCCCAACCCAGGCGATGTGAAGCTGGCGGCTGGTAAGCAAGAGCTCCACCCAAGCATCCTCTCAGCCATGGGCCCCGTTCCCAGCCTGCTTGGGACCCCCAATCCTGGGGCCCTGTCAGGATTCTGGGGTACCTCCAGGCTGCCCCCACCCACTGGCAGGGAAGTGCACCTGAGACCTCACATGAGGTTGGGCAGGGTAGCCAGAGGGTTAATGGGAGTGTGGCCAGAGTCCACTGGACCAGAGCCCCCTGCCCGGGCTCTTGACCCCCAAGTCCTATAGGACAGGCACCCCAATATCTCCGTGACCAAGGGTGGCCTTTAGCCTACCTTCCTAATCTCCAGGAAGAGGGGGTTGGACCCCGCTTGAGTGTGCCAACCTCAGCTCCCCTCTTCCTGTGAAGGCCACCCTGCAGAACCTTGGCCAGTGGGCAGGCCTCCCGGTGGGAGGGTCCTGGGGAGGGGGACAGTTCTTCGGGGGTCTCTCTTTTCTGATGCCAGAGTGAAGCTTAGGACGCTGGCGCCACCACCTGGCCTTGGTCAGAACTACAGGGTCTGAGGGAGGGGAGTGAAGACGCTGTGCAGGGAGACAGCCAGCGCTCAGCTAGATGTTGGTCCAGGATGCTCTGTGTCCTATTCAGGCAGATGGGCCCAATTTTTTCCCCAGGCATGTGTCCTACATGACCTGGAGAACAAGGCCTTAGGCCCCATAAAAGAGAAGCTTCAAACATTGGCCCGATTCCAGATCACCAGGAAGGCTTATTGATTTAACACTCCCAGAGTTTCTGACCCAGTACAGATGGGGAGGGCCTAGAAAGAGGTATTTCTAGCAGTTTCCAGGTAACACTGATGCTGGCTGATCCAGGGACCATACTTTGAGAAGCACTGCTTTAGAATTGCTGTGAATTTGGCCCGATAGTATCTGTGTAGAGTATGTCTTATTACTCTATTTTGGGGCAAAAATGAGTGCAAGTGGAGTACAGGTGCTGGATTGGCCCACCTACACAGTGAGCTCATCACCTTTCTGTGGGCCGCCGGGCCCTGCCCCACGGCTAGGGATAAAATGATAATGGAGGGGGACAGGTCCCCGCCTCAGAACTCACAGCCAGGCAGGTCTGGCGTGTGACCTCTCCACCTGGGAGTCTAAAATGCAGCTCAAAATAAGGCCCAAAACAGAACCCAAATTATATTCCACCTTCTTGGGCCTTCCCCATTCAGTGATTAGCCCACCATCCAGCCCCTGGCAGACGCTGGGGGTCACCCAGGTTCCTCTCTCCAGCTCCCGCATCTAACCCCGTTATATATTCTACCCCACCTGCTGTCTCTCCCTGTACGAGGGCCTGCCGCCTTCCATCCTTGCCCCCGTGGTCCCCGCTCTGAGCTGCAGCCAGAGCAGCCTTTTAAAGACAAAGCATTTCACTCCTCTGGTTATCTCCTCCAATGTCTTTCATTGCACTTTAAAAAGTTTTGTTTTGTTTAAGATTGTATTTATTTATTTTTAGAGAGAGGAGGGAGAAAGAGAGGGAGAAAAACAACGACGTGTAAGAGAAACATTGGCTGGTTGCTTCTTGCACGCCCCCCAACCGAGACCTGGCCTGCAACCCAGGCATGTGCCCTGACCAGGAATCAAACCAGCCGCCTTTCAGTTTGTAGGCTGACACTCAATCCACTGAGCCACACCAGCCAGGGCAAAAAATGTTATTCTAAATTGATTTGAGAGAGAGAGAAGTCGATTTGTTGTTCCACTTATTTACGCATTCATTGGTTGATTTTTATATGTGCCATGACCGGGGATCGAACCCACGACCTTGGTATATCAGGATAGCTGAAATACCCAGCCAGAGCTTTTCATTACACTTTTAAAAAATTCAGTATCCTGTTGTGGCTTCAAGGCCCTAGGTGGTCCTCGCCTCTTACCACTCTCCCCTGGTTCACTTCGCTCCAACCGCCCAGACCTCCTGGCTTGTTCCCTCCGCACAGCACTGGCCCCACCTGCTCCCTCCGCATGGCATGCCGTTCCCCCAGAATGTTCCATGGCTGGCTCCCGTTATGCTCTGCAATATCTTCACTGACTTCTCAACTCAACGTTACCTCCCACCCCCAGCTGCTCTCTGTTTTTATTAATTTGTTGTATTTTGTTCATAGCATTTACTTTCTTTGAAACTATTAATTTATCACCTGCTGTTTCCTGCCTGTCTCCTCTCAGAATGTGAGCTCCCAAGGAACAGAGATGGTCTGCTTTGTGTACCTTATTACCTAGAGTTCTGCTTGCACCTAGCAGGTGTCGCGTGCATAACTGCTGAGTGAATGGGGTTACATAGGATGCTGTGTAGGGGCATGTCCATGAGACGTGACATTGGGGAAGGCTTGCCAGAGGAGGTTTAAGCTGAGGCTGGAGGGCCTGTAGGAGTTGGCCAGAAAGACCAGATCAAGCAGAGGAACAACAAGAAAAAAGGATGTGGGAAGGTCCTAAAGCATGGAATGTTCTGGAAGCTGCACATAGTCCGATGTGGCTGGAGCAGAAGATTGGGTGGGAGGAGGGGTTAGAGGAGCTGAAGAGTCGGGCCGGTTGTGCAGGGCCTCGTTGCCCCTTGAGGGGTTTGAGCTCTTTGCTGAGAGCCATGGGCAGTCCCCCCAACACCCCGTTAAGAGCGTTAATGTCAGGCATTTTGGAAAGGGCCACTGAGTGCGGAATGGTTCCCAGAGGGCAGGGCAGCTGGGCGGTGCAGGCGCCCAGGTGAGCGGTGCTGACGCCCTGAGCTGGGCAAGAGACAATGCCTGAGTGGAGAGGTGGCCACGAGTGGGAGTCATTGGCGGGGGCGGGGGGGGGGGCGTGGTGGACTGGGCTTGTTATCCGTGGCACCCAGGTCTCCAGCTTGAGGGACTGGGTTGGCAGAGGTGCCGTTCGCTTGAGTTGAGAGGCCACCAGAGTGGGAGCAGTTTTGGGGAAAAGACGGAGGCTCTGTTTTGGACCAATGGGATGTGGATCTGGGTGGACAGTAGAGATGCATGTCAGTTGTCCAGAAACTGGGAAGAAGTGGCCCATATTGGAAGCATCCATTGGGGGGAGTGGCCAGGAGGATGCTGGTCTTGGCAGGAGCAGTTTGGCTGGAGCAGTCTCAGCCTGTGTCAAGCTCTGGTCCAGAGACCAGGAAGCAAGTCAGCGAGGAAAGCACAGAATCTCCTCCTAGAGGCTTAGACGGAGAGCTGCAGCTCGGTGCTTTGTATTTTAAGTTGGGGAAGGCTTTTTTTTCTTTTTTAAGATTTTATTTTTAGAGAGGGGAAGGGAGGGAAACATCAGTGTGTGGTTGACTCTCTCACGCCCCCTACTGGGGACTTGGCCCGCAACCCCGTAAGGTGCCCTGATCGCGAATTGAACCAGTGACCCTTTGGTTCACAGGCCGGTGCTCAATCCACTGAGCCACACCAGCCAGGGCAAATTGCGGGAGATTTAAATTCTTTGTAATGTCAAAGGAAGGATCCAGAAGAGAGGGAGGTTAGCCATCCAGGAAGGGCAAGGGGATGGCATTTGGAGCCCGGGGTAATTCGGTCTTGAAGCGGTGTGTGGTTTTGTGGGGGAGGGGTGTCTCTTCCATTGTACCACACGGTGAGACCAAAGACTGGCTTGGGGGCAGGAGGTGGAACGTTTGGACATGAGAATTCCCAGGTGATGGCTTCTCTTTTCTTCAAAAGGTAGCAGGGAGAGACCCGAGGCCTTCCATTGCAGGGCCATTGGCCGGGAAGTGTCCCCCGTGGAGGGAAGCTTCGACTGCGCCTGGTTGAAGCGTTGGAACCAGGCGGGAGACCTGGACGCCAGGGTTCAAGGCCCCCTGGCATCCTGCCCCATCACTAGGCAAGTCCATTCCTAGTTGGGCGCCGCCCCTTCCCCTCCCGGTGGAGGTAGTGTGCACAGGCTTAGCTCTCCTCTCTGACCCTGGGAAGAGGCTGAAGGGGGACTCAAGGGTGTCGTAGGAAAGTAGGCTCTTCTGGTGGGTGAGTGGGTGGGTGGCGGTGGTAAATGAAGGGGAGCCTGGCTTCCTCTCCAGTCCTGTCTTCCAGCCCCGGGAATTCTTCCTGGGGGCAGGCTCTATGCAGATAAAGGCTTCAAGGTATCCTTGCAACCCGGTCCAGAGGAGGCCCGAGGTTCCGGGAGAGTGGCCTTCCTCAGGTGGGTGGCAGATGTCAGCTGGAACCCAACGTTCGTGCCTCCAGGCCCCTCGCTTTACTGTCTTCTCCTAAGAGAGGCTGGAGACCCCTTTCATCTCAGCGGGGCCTAGGACCCCAACTCTGCTGCAGGGGAAGGTTGTACCCCCTGCTTTGAAAAGGGGCTGGGACGCGTCTGTGGGGCTGTGTGGTGCCTCCTAGTTCTGCACTCAGTCTAAGAGTGGACTTTGCTCTCTTAAAGGGTCGAAGGAGTACCGGGACCGGCGACAGAGGCGAGGACGATGACGCGCGGGGGGCGCCAGGCTCGGACTGCTGAGGGACGGCGCGCCCAGGTCGGGAGGACCCCCTCCGCGCCCCGGAAGCCGGTTTTGCTTTCAGGCCCACGAGTCGCCCGCGGCTCTGGGGAGTTCCGTCTGGGCCCGCCAGAGGGCGCCCGCCGGCGGCGGCGGCGGGGGCGGGGCCGGGAACCGGGGCCCGGCCGCGGGGAGTCCTGTCCCGCGGGGTGGGCGGCTGAGGTCCGGGAGTCAGACGGAGGCCCGGGGAAGCCGGCCTCTGGGGCCTCGGGAGCTCGGTGAAGCCGGTTTCCGGGGACTGCACGCTCAGGGACTTGGAGTAGAGCGTTCGCAGACGCCGGGACGGCTTGAATGCCGTCACCCCAGACCCTCCCCTCTTTCCCCCCCTCCGGCGTGCCGCCGGGAGGGGGCCGCTCCCGGGATCGCGTCTGGGGCGGGTCCCCGGGTCCTGGCCCTTCGGTGCCTTTGGCCGAGGAGAGGACACTTGAACATCCCCGTATAAGAGTGGGGAGTGGGAGCCCACTTTGGGGGGGCTACGCTCCCCTACCCCCCTCAGGGCCGCCTCGGCCCCACCCCGTCCCCGGGCCCCGCCCCGCCCTGGCCGCGCCGCCCACTCCCCTCGGCCGGGCCGGGAGCCCCGGGGGCCGCCGCCGCCGCCCGAGCGCCCGCCATGCGCGCTGCCCGCGCCACCCTGCTGCTCCAGCTGCTGCTCCTGCTGGAGCCGCGGCTCCAGGTCAGGGGCGTCGCTGAGCCGCCGCCGCCCGTCGTGGTCATTGCCATCCTGGCGCGCAATGCCGAGCACTCGCTGCCCCACTACCTGGGAGCTCTGGAGCGGCTGGACTACCCCCGGGCCAGGCTGGCCCTCTGGTGAGAGACCCGGGCATTGGCACCCACTGGGCACCTGCCCCCCAGGCTCATGAGGTCGTCTGCTCCCTGCCCACACACCACCCAGGCAGGCTCCTCCCCTGGCAGACCGCCCTGCACAGCCCCCAGCCCCAAGCAGCACCCGTACACCTTGGCCTGGCAGCCTGACCTCTGCCCGAGACCTTTGACTGGCCCTAGGACGCCCACCCTGGCCCCTCCTCCTCCTCTTGGGATCTCTCTGCGTGTAAGGTGGGCCTAGCCCCTCTTGCTGTCAGCGCCCAAACTCAACCCCGCGGACCCGCGGTTGGCTTGACTTGGAGTGGAGCAGCCAGGAACAGCTGGCGTCCCCTGGGGCCCGCGGTGGCAGGGACCAGCAGGACTGGGGGGTCCTGGGTAGCAGTGGGGGTGCTCTCAGCCCTGGGCTCCAGGCTGCTCTGCAAGGGAGTCAGGCCCACCCCCTCCCACTGTGCTGGTTCCAGACTCTCTTTAGAGGGTTGGTCCTGCCAGCTGATGGCAGTGCCCCCTCTCTGGTATCCCCCCTGCAGGCACCCCCACGGGGCACTGGAGTCAGTGGCCACAGTCCCTGACTCCAGAGGACAAGGAGGACCCCCAAGCTAAGGTTGAGGATCAACTGAGAGAAATGACAAACTGCTCCTCACAACACACCAAACTTGGGCTGGGGTGGAGCCATGGCCTGGGGAGGCTGCCCACAGTTACCACAGTTTGGGAGCTGTTAGTTCCCACCCCTACGGGACTTGACACGTAGTTAGTCTTCATTTCTGGGGAATTGGCTTAAAGGGACAGTGTCACCTAAAACCTGGGCCCTCGACTAAGCCCCCTACCCCCACTCAGTCATGGGAGAGGAGAGGAGAGGCTCTGTTTTGTGGCATATGTTCTGTGTGCACATCAGCACTTCTCAGGGACACTCGGACTGTGGTTTGGTCTTTATGACAACTTTCAGGCGGAGAGAAGCATCAGCTCTCCTGTCTAGTCCTGACTCCGGGGAAGGGGCTGACCTGTGGTCACACAACAAGGAAGGAAGGGGTCCAGGCCACGCGGCAGGTGTGTTCTTCAAAGCTGAGGTGCTTGACGTCTTTCGAAACGCACTCGAGTTCTGTTATCTCAGCCCGCTGGGCTGGTTCCGGCCTCAGCAGGTCATCTTCCAGTTATAGAGGAAGAAACTGAAGCCCAGAGAGGGACAGGGACTTGTCTCAGGTCACAGACCTGTGATGGGGACTAGGCTGCCTGCTTTCATACTCCCCTCGGTGGCATGCCCGCCACCACCGCTCCGGGGAGAATCGGCCAGCCTCGCAGGCGTTGCTGCTCTGGGGGTCAAGGCTGCCTCGGGCCTGGTCCTTCTGTGTCTGCGCCCCCTTACCCTCCTTCCTCCTGTGTCCCCAGGTGTGCCACGGACCACAACATGGACAGCACCATGGAGATGCTGCAGGAGTGGCTGGCCGCTGTGGGTGACGACTACGCAGCCGTGCTCTGGAGGCCCGAGGGGGAGCCCAGGTGGTCATCCGGGGGGAAGATGGGCGACAGCTGCAACCCAGAGAGGACAAGGGACACAGCCCAGGCCACAGCCTCTGGGCCAGGGCTCTGTCCACTGCCCTGCAGACAGGGAGGGGCACCTATGCCGTGGGGACATCTTATCTCTGCCCCTCAGGCCCTACCCAGACGAAGGAGGCCCCAAGCACTGGACTAAAGAGAGGCACCAGTTTCTGATGGAGCTGAAGCAGGAAGCCCTGACCTTTGCCAGGGGCTTGAGGGCCGACTATATCTTGGTAAGACAGCCTCCCTAGGACAGGGCTTCCTGTATGTTCTGGGATCTGTCCCTGACGACCGAAGTTTCAGTGTGAGAGCCTCCCTTAGGCTGGCAGCCTGCGTCAGAAACCAGACCAGATATGGAGCTTTGATCGTTATGCTTGAGCTCAGGCTAGATGCCAAGCTTGGGTCCCTGGGACAGATCGCAGGATACACACTGAGCTGAGTTCCCTGAACCGGAGCCCAGGAGAGGCCTTCGGGTCTACTCACTCAGTCGGTCCTCAGATAGCATTCCTAGATCAGCAGCTCCGGTCTTCTCTCTGGACCCGCTCCTGAGCCAGGGCCGCAGGCTAGACCCTCGGTCCGGAAACACATCTACTAGTTTGTATGCTTGCCCTCTCTTGGGGAGCCCCATTGGATTCCGGGAGCCTCTGTGGGTCTCTGGCAACCTGGAGGGATGCCACTCACTCATGAATCCCTGCGGGCTGCAGCCCAGGCGAAGCTGGGGTCTGTGACCTCCCCCTCTTCCAAGTTTGCAGATACAGACAACATTCTGACCAACAACCAGACACTGCGGCTTCTGATAGAGCAGGGGCTGCCCGTGGTGGCCCCGATGCTGGACTCTCAGACCTACTACTCCAACTTCTGGTGTGGGATTACGCCACAGGTGAAGCTGGGGATGGGGACCCCAGGAAGCTGGCGGTTCTGGGAAGGAGGGGTGCGGAGAGCTGAGAGCCTGAAGGCCTCAGGGTCTGTGTGCCATGGCAGGGAGCAGTGTTCTTGGGACGGAGGGGCCCGCTCACTGCCCAGAGCTCCGTCTTCCCCAGGGCTACTACCGCCGCACAGCCGAGTACTTCCCCACCAAGAACCGCCAGCGCCGGGGCTGCTTCCGGGTCCCCATGGTCCACTCCACCTTCCTGGTGTCCCTGCAGGCGGAGGGGGCAGCCCAGCTCGCCTTCTACCCCCCTCACCCCAACTACACCTGGCCTTTTGATGACATCATTGTCTTCGCCTACTCCTGTCAGGCTGCTGGTAAGGACAGCTCTCCTCAGTCATTCCTTGGAAGCCTCTAGGCCTTCGCACATGCTGTTCCTTCTGCTTTGCACGCCTTTCCCCGCTCCACACCTCATCTCATTAAGCCCTTTTTGTCTTTGAGTCCTTTGTAGCCTTTCTTGAGCCCACTGCTGCAGTGGGTTAGATCCTTCTTCTGGCTGTCCCCCTTGTGGCACTTGCGTGGATTCTGCTTTTAGGCAAATATTTGTAGAGTACCTACCATGTGCCAGACACTGGGGAGAGAGTGGTGAGTAAAGGCAGATGGCCCCTGCCCTCCTGGAGCCTCCCTCCCCGTCATTCAAAGGGGCACACAAAGCAAAGTCCAATCACAGCTGTGACAGGACAGAGAGCTTCTTGATTGTAGGTGCTCTGGGGGCTTAGATTAGAGTTGGTCTAATCAGGGAAGGCTTCCTGGAGGATGTACACTTTGGGGCTGAGATCTAAAGTATGGGCAGGATTGCCCCAGCTTGGTAGCTCAGTAGGTTAGAGCGTTGTCCTGATATGTGACAGCTATGGGTTCGATCCCCAGTGAGGGCACATAGAAGCATCAATGAATGAATGCAGGAACAAGTGATGTTTCATGAAACTTGTTGTGAGAAACATCGTGTCTCTCTCTCTCTCTCCCTTCCTCTCTCTCTAAAATAAATTTTAAGCCCTGACCAGTGTGGCTCAGTTGCTTGCGTGTTACCCTGCAAAGTGAAGGGTCACCAGTTTGATTCCTGGTCAGGGCATATGCCTGGGTTGTGGGTTCGATCCCTGGTCAGGGTGCATATGAGAGGCAACCAATCGAAGCTTTTCTCTCACATTGATGTTTCTCTCCCTCTCTTTATCCCTCCCTTCTCCTCTCCATTGAAAAAAAAATAGCCCATGGGGCAGGAGACACAAGAAGACAAGTGGCTGAGCACAGTAAGGGGGGTGTGGGGCGGTGCAGGCCGAGGCAGGAAAGGCGGGCAGGGTCAGCCGGGGTGGACCTGACTGTCCAGCCTCTGCGCTTTAGCCTGAGAGCACCGGGCGGCTGTCAGAGGGTCACGGGACTGGATCTGAGCCCTGAAGAGGTCGCTCTGGTTGTCGGTCGTTATTTTAAGGTGAACGTTACCGGACAGTGTTTGGGTTTGGATGGGGTGAATCCAGTTTGGAGGAAGAGTCGTGGATGAGACCAAGACAGACACAAATGTTGGAGGAAGGCTCCGGAGAAGGTTCCACAGAATTCAATCCAGGGCGTAGACTGAGGGGGCAGGGCAGGGGGGACGGGAGGGCTGAAGGCCGCTGCTGGTGGTCAGGGTGAATGAGAAGTGCCAGCGTCTCCCAGAAGCGCTGCGCCGGCGCCAGCAGCGTGTGAGGAGTGGCCGGAGGGCGGAGTGTTGTCATGGTTTCAGCACGAGATGTGAACCATGTCTGTGGTGCAGACACGAAGAGGGGAAAAAAATCACGTGTGAAAAGTGAATGAAACAAATGCATGGAGAAAGAACGAGAAGAAGCAAAAGTCTTTTTTCATTGCTCCTGCTACTTGGCTTGAGAGCCACAGTGAATTTGCCAGCGGTTTGGAGGAGTTTAGCGAGCGGTGGCTTTGTCGCCATCCTTTGAGCTTCCGTCACCCAGCAATGGATGGCGCCCCTGCTCCGGGCCAGGCTCCGCTCCACACTGGGCGTGTGGTTACCTTGCGTACAGACACCGTGCGCCTGCCCCCGAGGAGTTCACAGTCTACAGGAGATAAAGAGTAAATCAATAATCGTAGTAAAGGTGACAGATCTGGAAGAGATAAGAAGGCTGTCGGGGAGGACAGCATGGAGGGGGCACGAGAGGGTATGGGGATAAGTGTAGGCGCCAGGGCTGGACCTGGGCAGAGGTGGGGGAGACTTAGCCGCGAGGCAGTGGCTCCACCCGGTGGCCTCCCGTGGCCACAGTCACTGGCTGTAGTCCCAGGGCGTTTGCCTGCTCCTGCTTGGCCCTGGCCCCCCAGGGCGGGGACCCTGTCTGTCTGGCTCGCCATTGTTGCCCTGGCATCCAGCAGATGCTCTGGGAACGTCTGTTAAATGAGTAAACCGCTTCAGCAGAAAGCCCCCTTACATATGTTTTCTGAGTCCAGCCCTTCCTCCATCCCACAGGTAGGGACTCGAGTGCCAGAGAGGACTGGCACTGGGACACGGCAGGACAGGGCCCACGACCTCTCCGCTGGGTCCCAAAAACCCGCTACCCCGCCCTCACCCAGCCTGTCTCTGCAGGGGTCTCAGTACACGTGTGCAATGAGCACCGCTATGGGTACATGAACGTGCCTGTGAAATCCCACCAGGACCTGGAGGACGAGAGGGTCAACTTCATCCACCTGATCCTGGAAGCGCTAGGTGAGGGCTGGGAGCTGGGGTAGCCGCCTGCTGCCATGTGCTCCTTCCCCGAGGCTCCAGACATGGCTGGGTGCTGGGCTTGGGGCCCCAGCCTCACCCTTAACTGATTCCTGACTCGGCAAGTTCCGTTCCCCACGGGGCCTCAGTCTCCCCATCTGTGCAGTGGAGGCGGGTGGATTCCGTGATCTCTCAGGGCCCTGCCTGCTGGGCATTCTGCTGAAGGGGCAGGAACTGGGGGCATGGGGGGCTAGGACTCCAGGGTCACTGCTGACAAGAGCCGCAGGAACTCATGATTGGGGGTCCTTTCCTCTGCAGTGGATGGGCCCCCTATGTGGGCTTCAGCTCACGTGACCCGGCCCCCGAAGAGGCCCACCAAGATGGGGTTTGATGAGGTGAGTTCGCTCAGCCTGCAGGGCTGGGGTCAGGAAGCAGGTGGGCTCCCCCACCCCAGGGCCTCCGTCCCTTGCACCCACTCTCCACTTCCACCTCCCCTGCCTCCTCCAGGTCTTCGTCATCAGCCTGGCCCGCAGGCCCGACCGCCGGGAGCGCATGCTGAGCTCGCTCTGGGAAATGGAGGTCTCCGGGCGGGTGGTGGACGCTGTGGATGGCCGGTGAGGCTCCCGGGGGGAGCTCAGGGAAGCTGGGGGGCGGCGAGGTCCACTGGAGCTGCCAGGGCGGCGAGGGAAAAGCAGGTGGAGGAGTTGAGAGAGCTCCCTGTTCTGGGAGGTATTCACACAGGTAACCCTGAGTAACCCTGGCTTGGGGCGGCCCAGGGCAGACAGAACCGGGCAGGACGCCCGTCCCCAGCCCACTGGAGGTGGGAGGTGCAGCGGTCGAGGCCCAGGGCCTGGAGCTCCTGAGCTTGGGCTCTGGCTCCACCACTTAACAGCTCTGGGATTTTGGTAAGCGCCCGGTTGTGTACGTGGTGAACCGTGATGTCTTCCTTCTGGGGGCTTGGGAGGCTGCGGGGCCTGATGCGGTAGGTATTCCAGGCTTAGGTGTCTTCGTGATAATTATCCAGGTTCTTCTCTCCCATCCTGGACTTAGGTGCCTGATGGTGGGGTGGCAGCAGGCCAGCCCCACTCCCAGGGGAGCCCAGGGCTGCTCGGCCCCACGTGTCCACTGCTGTCGCCGCATGGGCCCCCAGCCCTTCCGATCGCAGGACACCCATCCTTTGCTTGGGCCTCTGCCATGTTCCCCATGTTCATCCTGGGGTGTGCCCCCTTAGGCTGCTGCCCCCTCCCCTGTGGGACACGCCTGCCGGAGGCGGCTACGGTTCCTCCGATCCAACCCCTGATGGCTTCAGGCCACATGAAGCGGTGACAAGGCTGAAACTTCATTCAAACCAGACTCCAGTGTGACTGACGCAACATGCACCAGCCAGGCGCCCCCGGATGGGTTCCTGGTGGCCACCCCTCACCCCGTGACTCCTGTCTCCCTCAGGACACTCAACAGCAGTATCATGAGGAGCCTCGGCGTGGACCTGCTTCCTGGCTACCAGGACCCCTACTCAGGCCGCACGCTGACCAAGGGCGAGGTGGGCTGCTTCCTGAGCCACTACTCCATTTGGGAGGAGGTGAGGACCCGCCCCGCGGCCCTCGCCCTCCGGGAGAGCAGGCCCCCACCCCCGAACTGTATTCACGGCCCTGTGCCCAGCCCTGGCGGGTGAATGAATACATTAACAAAGGTGACCAGTGGCTCTGTGTGTCCAACCTACCTCTTAGTCGTTCTATCGTCCCTGTTGAGCACCTACTGTGTGCTAGGAGGTATTCTCTCAGAGATCATAGAGCTGAACATGAAAAATGCAGCCTGGCCCTCCTGGGGCTCAGGGACCAGAGGGGGCCATGGAAATCAAGAAAGAACCCACTTGCCACGGAAGGGCTGGTCCCTGGCTGCTCTAGAGTGTGGACTGGCCTGGACTTCTGGCCTGGCCCGGGGGCAGCATGGCCTCGCCCTTGACAGGCCATGAGAAGAGCCTCCTCAGCAGAAGGAAGCAGTAGGAGCCACGGCCCTGAGGCAGGAGGGGGTTGACTGAGTTCAGGGCTGAGAAGGAGAGGCCTCATCACACCTCAAACCAGGGCCCGGGCACGAGTGACACCGAGAGGCCACCGCTTGGGCGCTGGCCCCCGAGGGAGCTCCCTCCAGGAGGCTGCGCATGGACACACTCTTTGTTTTTTATTTTCTGCTGTAGCCACAATGGATGTGGGAGAGCTTGTAGTTCCGTTTGTTTTCCACAGTCTCCGAACAGACGGACGGATGATGCACACTTCACCGCTCACTGAGCTGATTCCATGTTCTTTCCACATTTCCAAAAGCTGCAGAAAGTGCTTTTTCTTAGGGGTGTGGGGGGCTAGGGTCTCCCCATCCCCTCCCAGCCCTGCTTCCTTTAGGAAAGATCAGGAGGCGGAAGTAAGGCCCCGGGCCCTGGAGCGCGGCAGGTGCAGGTCAGATCCTGGCTCTGCCGCTTCCCGCCTGCGCGTCCTTGGACGAGGGGCTTTCCCTCCCTGAGTCTCTGTCTCCTGACTGCAGTACAGGGCCACCACATGTGCTGCCCTCAGGGTCCCTGGAGACGGGCAGTGGCACTGTGGCCCTGGGATGTAGTAGCGCTCACTGAGTGCAGTGTGGGTTCTGATCACCATCATGAGTCTAACTTGGAGGGCCTTGAATGCCAGAGCGAGCGAGGCCTTGGGATTTCAGTCTCCAGGCAGTGGCAGTCCCAGCAGGCTCTGGAGCAGCTGAGGGATGTGGCCAGGACTGAGCCCGTGACACGGAGCTCAGACGAGGGAGAGTGTCAGTGGTAGCCGGGTGGAAGGGGACAGCTCGATTCTAAAGAACTACCCCCACCCTACCTTTTACCGCAGGTGGTTGCCAGGGGCCTGGCCCATGTCGTGGTGTTCGAGGACGACGTGCGCTTCAAGAGCAACTTTAAGGGGCGTTTGGAGAGGCTGATGGAGGATGTGGAGGCAGAGAAACTTCCATGGGACCTGATGTAGGCAGCGCGCACCATCCCCCGCCCCAGGGCAAGGGAAGGGGGCAGGGCTCTGGGGTCTGCCCCGCCTGTGTGGAGCCTTCCTTCCCGCATCCTGGTCCTGGAGGATGGGGTTGGGGAGGGGGTCCTGGGACACGCCAGGACCTGCGAGAAGTCCTGGGACCCTTGATATCACCTGCAGCTACCTCGGCCGGAAGCAGGTGAACCCTGAGGAGGAGGTGGCCGTGGAGGGGCTGCCAGGCCTGGTTGTGGCCGGCTACTCCTACTGGACACTGGCCTATGTCCTGAGCCTGGCGGGCGCCCGCAAGCTGCTGGCCTCCCAGCCCCTGCACCGGATGCTGCCCGTGGACGAGTTCCTGCCCATCATGTTTGACCAGCACCCCAAGTGAGTCTCAGGTGGGGGCAGGGCGGGCCCACCGCAGCAGCAAGTGCCCCAGGCTGGGCAGGTGGCGAGGGTGAGGTTGGCAAGGCAGAGTCACTTCTTCCGGGTCACCAAGGAGTAGTTGAGGAGCCCAGCTTCGCCCTGGACTCAGGCCAACCTAGGTGTGAATTCTCTGGTGGCCATGTGGTTTTGATGAAGCGACTTCCCTGTTGTGGACCTCAGTTTCCTCATCTAGAAAGTGGGGCTAAGAGAAACCATGCCTTTCCCTGCCCGGTGTCGCTCAGCGGGTTGGACCATCGTCTGTAGTCCGAAAGGTCGTGTGTTTGATCCCTAGTCAGGGCACATACAAAAAGGCAACGAATCGATGTTTTTCTTTCACACTTCTCTCTCTCTCTCTCTCTCTCTCAAAGAAATGAAAAAAAGAGAGAGAGAAAGCACGCCTCTCACGTTTGCAGTGAGGCCTGGATGGGGAGGGCAGTGAGCCGCTGTGGCCAGCGTGCCGTCTGGGTCGGGGGGCTCACCTCAGCCTCCTAAGCCGCCCCCCTGCCCCACAGCGAGCAGTACAAAGCGCACTTCTGGCCTCGGGACCTGCGGGCCTTCTCCGCCCAGCCCCTGCTTGCCGAGCCCACTCACTACGCGGGGGACACCGAGTGGCTCAGTGACACGGAGACATCCTCACCCTGGGACGACGACAGTGGCCGCCTCATCAGCTGGAGCGGCTCTCACAAGACCCTTCGAGGCCCCCGCCTGGACCTGGCCGGCAGCAGAGGGCACAGCCTCCGTCCCCACCCCAGGGATGAGCTGTAGGTGAGGGAGGGGCTCGGAAGAAGCGCCAGCTGTGTGGGCCCTGGTTTTCTTTCTGCTTTCACCGCCAACTCTGCGTCTGTCCGGTCTGTTTTCCCCTTCTTAGCCTCTCTTCTCTCCCCCTCTCCCTCCTCCTCTCCCTCTCCCTCCTCTGGCTCCTCCCCCACCCCGCCTCTGACCCTGTCTCAGTCTGTTTTGTGTCTTTGGCTGTCTCCGTAGTTCTCTCTCCTCCTCTAGCTCCTTCTCTCTCTGTCTGTCCCTGGCTCTCTTTGTTTCTCTGCATCCGTTGATGTCTCTCTGCTCACCTCTCACTCCGTGTTTCTGACTATATCTGCGTCTGTTTCTGTCTCTGCCTCTCATGTCCGACTCCGGTTCCATTCTCCCCTCTGGCCTCTCCTGTCCTACCAGGTCCCGGTGGTGACTCCAAAGGAGTACCTAGGAGGAGGCCAAAGCTGTCCCGGGAGCAGAGTTGAAGACTGGTAGCAGGAGCCACCACCAGGAACCATAGAGCCATTAGAGACCTGGCTGCCACCTGAGGCATGGCCACTTTGCGCTCTGGTGCCATCTTTCATTGGGAGAAACCAGAGATGGGTCCCCTTCTCCAAGGTCTTGTAGTGGAAGGGCAGGGCTCACAAGCCCTCTTAACCGTCCTGGCTGCCTGCCTTATGGCCTGGGGTGGAGGGAAGGGGGGGGCTCAAACTGGGCCCTGCCCTCCCCGGGGACCCAGCTGCTGGGGTCCCTCCACCCCCTTCTACCTCGTCCTCAACCCACCCCCCACCCCCAGCTCAGAGCCTGGGTCTCACCTGCCAGGGCCCACCCTTTCCCTGGCCCGTGGGAAGTACAAGGGGGTTGGCAGAGGACCCAGCGTGCAGTCCTCAATAAAATCCAGCTCGTGTTTGCACTTTATATTTTTGAACTCATGGCCGAGCCTCTTTGCTTGTTACAAGGTCTGGAATCTATGGATGAGCAGTTGGAGAGACAGGGAGGGGAGGGCAGCCTGGCGGCAGGGTCAGGCCCCCCCGGCTGCTTTGTCTACTGGTTGGTAAAGTGGTGGGAAGAGAAGGCCAGCCCACAGTCAGTGCTCACCCCTTGGGACTGTGCTGGTCATCACGGGCCTCACCCTGCTGGCCAAGGCAGACCCAGGCCAGAGCCAGGATTGCTGATGCCTCCTGCCTTTGGACCTTTGCTGTGTAGCTGGAACCCTTCTCGCTGAAGTCACTGGGGGAGATCCAGGGCTCCCCTCTGGCCTGAGGCAGTGTGGCCGCCAGAGGGCGCTAGGTGGCAGAGCCCGGACCTTGTGGGCCCTTGTCTGAGACCAACGTGAGGAAGGCAGCCTGGGGCATCGCAATCTGACCCTGTGCTTGCCGTGGGTGAGCAGCAGCAGCTCAGCGAGCTTCTGCTCTTCTGCTTGGGAATGGCAGGCCTTGCTCCACCTGCCCCGCCCCTCACCCCTCAGAGTCAAGCCTCTGGGCCTAGCAACTGTCTCCAGTGCCTGCACTCAGGCAGCCGCAGGGGTGCGGCGGTGGCTGCCTGGGTCTCCACCAGCACTGGACCCAGGTACAGACAGCTCTACAGTTCCCTCTCCTGAGGAGCCTCTCTCCCGTGGCAGCCCCTTGAGTTGGTCTTGTAAGCACCTGGGTCCTGGCAGACTGGTCGGACAGGTACCCGGAGAGGCTAGGCCATCTTCCTTTTGTTCTGGGGATGAGGTCCAGCTGGCCGGGCTTTGGTTCCAGGCCCTGGCATGGCTGTGAGAAGGACTTTGGGCCGGAACTGTGGGATGGTGATTTGTGTGTTGCAAGAGTGAAAGCCACTGATTCTAGATGGCCATGACCTTGAGCAAGTCGCTTCTCTCCAGGCTTCAGGTGTCTTCATTCTTTAAACATTTATCAAGCACCTCTTATGGGTGAGGTTTAGGTACAAGAGATACAGCAGGAAATAAAACAGACCAAAAAAAAGAAAAGAAAAGAAAAGAAAAATCCTGGACCTTGGGGAGCTGACAGTCTAGTGAGGGAGGCAGGTGAAGACAAGTAACAATGAGAGGATAAGAGCTATATAGAAAAATAAGGGAGGAGACATCAAGGATGATCTAAGAAGTTAACATCTGAATGAAGACTTGAAGGAGCGGAAGAGGCAAGCTAAGGCCACCCCTGAAGGAAGACCATTCCAGGCCTTCCAGGCCGAGGGAGCAGCATATGCACAGCTCCTGCAGCAGGAGCAGGACAGGACTGGCAGGTTCAAAAGACAGCAAGAGGGCAGGTGAGGCTGGAGCCGAGTGAGCCAGGAGGAGCCAAGATCTGGAGATGACGGGTCCAAGGTCAGGGCCAGAACAGAGATGACCCGGGCGGCCGCCTGAGCTTCTACTATGAGATAAGGGGCCCCCGGAAGATTTGAGGCAGGGAAATGACTTATGTTTTAACAGGAGCCCCCTGGCTACTGCACTGAGAATGAACTGTAGGGCGGTCCACGGTAAAAACAGGGACACCAGTTAGGAACCCATTAAAATAATCCAGGGGAAACACTCTGCTGGCGACTCCTTGTAGCGGGGATGAGGAGGCAAAGCCCCCAGAATTTCAAGAGAGGAGGCGGCTTTCCGGACACCAAGCCGCCGCCCCCGGGGCCGCCCTAGCCAGGGTCAACCCCACCACATGTTCTTCGACATTCAAGCTCTTCGCAGACCGAGTTCCAAAGACAGCAGAAACCTTTCCCGCTCTGAGCAGTGGGGAGAGATAATTTGGCTACGAAGACTCCTGCTTTCACAGAGTTCTACTGGGGTGCACGTGCCAGGGAGGTGACCTCACACACCATAGCGGCACTGGCGCAAGTCCATCTTCAGCGAGAAAGAAAATGATGAGAATTTCATCCTGAAGCACATGGGTCCTGGCATCTTGTCCATGGCAAAAGCTGGACCAGCACAGACGGTTCCAGTTTTTCTTTGCGCTGCCAAGACCAAGCGGTTGGACGGTGAGCATGTGGCCTTTGGCAAGGTGAGAAAGGGCCTGAGGACTGTGGGGCCGCGGAGCCCCCTGGGGTCCCAGGGATGACAGGACCAGTGGCGGGTTGCCGCTGCTGGCTCTGCGGCTGTGGATGGTGCTGACATTGACTTGCATTTTATCTTAACCACCAGACCATCCGTAGCTCAGGAGGGTGCCCCGGCTCCTACTGCTCATGACATCCGGTCATCTTTGTGCTCTCGCTGCAGCTGTTTGGGTCCCGTGTTGTCTTTATCCCCTTCCAAGTCCAGCTGGACTGAAGAGTTAACTTGATAATTATGAAATAAAAACTAAACAACAAAAACAGAGAGACGGGGAGAAAGAGGAGAGGAATTGAGGATGATGCCAAAGCTTCTGGCAGAATTTCTGGAAGAATGGGGAAGGCTGTGGCTGGGGCTAGTTTGGGGGCAGGTCACGAGGTCAGTTTTAGATGCGCTAAAATTGAGATCCAGGTACAGATGTCAGGTAGCAGTTGGATACGCGAGTCTGGAATTCAGGGTTCAAGCCTGGGCTGGAGCTAGGAGCTCGGAAACCGTCCTGACCCAGCAGTCCTGGCCCCAAGTCACGCCTTCTACCACCGGTTACTTGAGGATCTTGTTCAAAGGCAGATTCCTGCCTCCCCCGCCATTCGTCTCCCCCCTGCAAGGTTCTGATTCGGTAGGTCGTGGGTGGAGCCTGACTGTTTTTGAATCAGAACCCCCAGTCATCCTGAGGAGCTGACAGGTCTGGGAACCACCAGGTGACTCTACAAAGTAACATGCACTTCAATGATTTTTGACAAGGTAAACAGTTGTGTCCCCACCGCCACCGGTACAATGCAGACACGGGAGCTGTATAATTACATAACACATCTTCCCCGCATTTCCCCTACGCCGCTCTGCGGTCAGCGCTCCCCTCCCTTTCCTGCCCCTGGAAACCGCCACTGTTTTCTGTCCCTATGGTTTTGCCTCTTCCAAACTGTCGTACGAATGGAATCAGGCAGCATGTGGCCTTTTGTGCTGTTTTCTTTTTTATCCAGCATCATGTTTTATTTGGAAGTTTTATACAAAACTGAGCTCTAATCACTTCCCTAATGCTTTATACTAGAGTTTCTAATCCGAATGTATATTATGAAGAATGTATTACGAAATTTTCATCAAGACTTCCAAATACCCCCCAGCACCCTCCAGACTACTCAGAAGCTGTGCAAATATTTTGGTTTTCTGCGTGTGCTCGCTGTGAAGGTTGGGAAGCCTTGTCCTGAGGCACACCTGCTGCTTGGAGGCAGCAGCGGTGACAGGGAGAGTGGGGGCGCGGTCAGTCATGCGGGACTGCTTCTAATTTGGTCTCCCCCTCCCCCCAGGTTGACACAATTGTGTGCAAACCAAGGGACAAAGGCGGTATGAGTAAATGGCGGTAGCTTTTTGGCTTTGGCTGTCTGCCAATTGTTTTGCCTGATCGGTGAGATTTTGACCTCCCTTCTGGTTTCTGGGTGGAACTGCAGATACAGGAGGAAGCCCCTCCCAGATGTGGTGGTTCTGCAAAGCTTGTGGTGGGCTTTTTAGCTACGGCAGGAGCCCTGGGGGCAGAGGAAGCTGGTTTGGGCTCTGTCTCTGTCCTCTCTAGCTCTGTGACCTTGGGCAAGTGTCCTGACCTTTTGCCCCCATCTCAATGGATATCGTGAGGATTCGTGAGCTAATGCAGGTGGCGTGTGCCTGGCACAGAGGGAGAGTTGTGCCGATGGTCGCTGGCATTGTGGTGGCCTTCCAGACAGTGACAGCGAGTTGGGACGGACTTGAGAGGTCTGCCTGAGTCAGAACAAAGGGTGGGGACTCCGGAAACAGATGACCTTTAAATTCCACCTTAATTGCCACTTCATGATCTGAGTCTCTTGAGCCAGGTCCTTCTCCTCTCTGTAAAATGCCTCAGTGTCCCCCTCTGCAAAATGAAGGGGCGCAGCAAGATTTGGCCTCCAAGATGCCTCTCAGTGCTCCAGGAAGTGGTTCTCAAACTTTAGAGAGGATCTGAAGCACCTGGAGAACTTATTAAAACACAGGTGGCTGGGCCCCGCCCCCAGCGATCCTGATTCAGCAGGTCTGTGGTGAGGTCTAAGAATTTGCTTTTCTAGCAAGTTCCCTGGTGATGCAGATGCTGGTGGTGCAGGACCACAGCTGAGAAACTGCTGGTTTGGGTAACCAGAGAACCAGGACCTTCAGCTGAGCTCAGCGTCCGTGCAACCTCAGAGGCAAGGCCAGTGAGTGGCTGCTCAAAGAGCCCGCGATTGGACCTATGAGAATTTTCTCTTCCAACAGCAGGCAGGTGTTGAAATCTTTCGTCTCCTGAAAGAAAAATCCAGCCCAGTCTGGAGCACAGATTCCTTCTCCCCAGGGCGGTGTAGTTGCATCAGGTCCCTGGAGGAGCTGCTCCTGGCTGGAAATAACTGGTAATCAGGCCCTGGAGCAAATGGAAAGGCTGGAGTGGCCTGGAGGACCCAGGGGCTGCCAGCAGCACCGGGGCTGGGCCCGCAGCTCCCCCTTCTCCTGAGGGTGCTTCTAACCAACACTGGGAACCTCTGTTCATTGTTGAAATTTAGAAAAACAGGAGAAAAAGCAAACTGCCAGAGTTAGCACTTTGAGATAGTGTCTCCTGGTTTAACAACGTCAACCTCCTTCATTTCTTAAGCAGGACGGCGGCCCCGTGTGTGTCTATTTTATTTTGCATCTTTAAACTGAATATCTTCGCTATGTTGTGGGCTGAACTGTGTCCCCCCACAGTTCAGATGTTGAAGTCCTTACCCCCAGAACCTCAGAATGGGACCGTATTTGGAAATAGGGTCACTGGACTTAAGATGAGGGCATATTGGAATAGTGTGGGCCCCTAATGCAGTATAATTGGTGTCCTTATAAAAAGGGAACATCACGCTGGCTGGGGTGGCTCAGTGGATAGAGTGCCAGCCGATGAACAGAAAGGTCACCAGTTCAATTGCCAGTCAGGGCACAGGCCCGGGTTGTGGGCCAGGTCCCAGCAGGGTATGTGTGAGAGGCAACCGATCAATGTTTCTCTCTCTTCCTTCCCCTCTCTCTAAAAATAAATAAAAAAATAAATAAAATCTTTAGTAAAAACGGGACAATACAATGTGTGTAGACCAAAGTTCTCCTTCTAAGAACTTCAGAGGGAGCCGGCCCTACTGACACTTGGAACTCAGACTTCCGGGCCCCAGAGTTCAGTCTGTGGTACCGCGTTTTGGCAGCCCTAGCAAACTAATAATGCACATTGCATACTCTCTTTCAAATACATAGTTCACGATAAAAATTTTTTAAGTATCAAAAAGAATATATAATAGCAGAAGCAACACTCTTGTACCTTCTGCCAAAATTTGCAGTCTTTTTCTGTATGAATTTATAGCAGCCCATCCCCCTGCCCCCCAACTCCTACATAGACTTTACTGAACACCCCACCCCACAACCCATTTTTCCAACCAATATGTCATGATTATCTTCTCCGAGTCTTTAATCTGTTGGTGTTCTGACTAGAAACATATTCCTTTGCAAAAATGCTTAAACATGACAGAAATTTACAATTTATAAGTGAAAATCTCCCCGACCTCCAGATTTTTTTTTTACATGCAGATACTCACACACAGGTTATATATTCATGCAGAAATAGCATCATCGTCGACTGGTCAATTTACGGTGTTATGTGACTAACAGCCTTGACTTTAACTTTTCTTAGCTAGACTTTAGAGATCTTTCCCTGTCTGAACAATAGATGTCTTTTAATGGTTCTGTAGTATTCCCTTGAATATATGTAACAAAACTCCTTGAATATATGTAACATAACTTATCAAGCAGCTGAACCAATTTTTCTCTCTCTCTTTTTTTTTTTAGCAAGGAGCCGACGCTGATGTGAGAGAGAAACATTGATTGGTTGCCTTTGCTTTCATCCAAGCCGGGGACTGAACCCTTAACTCAGGCATGTGCCATGGCTGGGAATTGAACTGGCGACCTTTTGCATTGCAGGACAATGTCCAACCGAGTCACACCAGTCAGGGCTGATTTTTCATCCTTCCACAAATCTTAGTCATTTTAATGAGGCCTCAGATGATGGTTTCCCGCCGCCCCACCCTAACTATGCTCTATGTGTTTTATTTTTATTTTTTAACTACTCTGTATTAATTGCACCACAGCATATCCTTGCACCAGATTCCCGAGAGAACTCATATGCACAGGGCGTGTACTGACAACAAAATACATATTGGCTTTTGCTCCAAACTCTTCAGTTTTCTGGTCCATAGGTCTGGATCATGTGGAGGTTTCTTTTTGCCTGGCCCTCAGACAACCTTTAGAAGTCTCCTTTCTGTCTTTTCCCTAAGTCTCTCATCCCCTTGGGAAGGTCAGGAAGGGTCAATTCAAAATTACATGGACCCCTGGCTGGTGTGACTCAGTGTCTGGATTCCCCGGTCAGGGCTCGTGCCTGTGACGTGGGCCAGGTCCACAGCTGGGGACGTGCAAGAGGCAACTGATCCACGTTTCTCTCCCACATGGATGCTTCTCTCCCTCCCTTCTCCTCTCCCTGGAAATAAATAAATAAAATCTCTAAAAAAAATAAAAAGAAATATCAAGTAAAGAAAAAGTATTTAAGAAAATAAAATAAAAACATAAATAAAAAGAGCGGCCATTGCCGACCAGTCTCAGTGGTTTGGTGTGCGTCCAGAACACATGGTCCAGCAATCCAAAGTAATCGCAGAGTAACTCAAGTTCTTGCATCTCTCAAACGCCACCGAGCACACACCCAGTCCACAGCTCTGCTTTTAAAAGTCCTTTCTTCTTCCCCATCCCACACCCTTGACACACTACAGGGCTCCCTGTGCCCTGTCTTCAGCATCCTCCTCGGACATCTCATTGTTCTAGGTCTTTCCATCCTCCTTCCTACCCAGCTCTAGTGTGCGTGTGTTTCCTCTCAATCCTGTCTGCATCACAAAAGCCCCAAGGAAATGCACCAACATGGAGGGGCCCTTCTCCTATTGTGGGAGGGGACAAAACCACTCATGCAAAATCCTCCGGTGGGTGGCGAGGGAAAAACTTTACTCCTATTATCTGGTCTCATTAGAGTGGTCAGCTGTGGGCTCCTTGAAGGCTGCTGGGATGTGCTGGCCTACTGTTCCTTGTACTGGGTTTAGCGCATAGTAGGGACTTAATGTTTCTTCAGTGAAGCTGGGAGCACTGAAAATCCTGTCTTGGGGGTAGCAAGACATTTTACAGAGATGTTTGACCTATGCCAGGAAGCAAGAAGTTTATATTGGGCAGCAAGGACATCTCTTCCTCTGAAGGTGGGGAACTTAAAAGGGGGGGCGGGGAGAAGGCAGAGGGAATCCTATCTGATGGCTTTATTTTTCTCTATGAAGAAAGAAGAGTTGCAGTATGGGATGGGGAAGGGGCAAAGGCTTATAAAAGCCACCCTGGGTAAGGGGAGGGGTCTGGGGGCAGACAGAGCAATTGCGGCGTAGTGCCTAGGGCTCAGCTGAGGGTGGAGGCAGCTGAGGGTGTGGGTTTGGACTGTGCAGAGTCTCAGATGGTTGGGTTGCAGAGATTGGGGATCCATCATTTAGTCAACGGGGAGAAAATGAACGGGCCAAAGGGAGTGAAATGCTCCGTAACACTGAAAAAAATTGATAGAGTAGGCATTAGAGTGGGAGAGCAAGGGAGAAAAGCGGGTTCTGTTCGGAGAGGGGGAGCTGGAATTTACAATTTCGGGCGGATCTGTTGTGTGGTCCTGTGGGGGCACAGCTGAGCTGCGAGGGGCGGGGGAAGGTCAGGGAAATGGGTCTGTCAAGGAACTGGAAGCCAGATTGGCCCTGGGGATGTGCAAGTCTCCCAGAATCCAGGGCGGCGCTGTGAGCCACGGGACACCCCCCCCACCCCACGACCGGCTGACAGCGAAGCTTGGTTGAGAAGAAGCGGCTCAGCGCGAACCTCATCAAAGTAGGTCTGTACACACAGTTGCATTCAGTGCGCAGGATGGCGGTGAGGAGCGAGGGGAACTCGGACCCTTCCTCCTGTCTGGACAGACACAAGCGCAGGGAGAGCGTGGGTGGTGTGCAGAGGCCAGCTCCATCTCTGCACCAACAGCAGGGTAGGGACAGGGCTGGATTCCCAGAAGCAGGGCGCAGCTCCGGCCACCAACTTACTCTGTGCTCTGTCTCTGTGCCTAGTTTCCTAAAACGTAGCAAATGGAACGGGTTAGGGTTGTGGCGCTCTTCTGAGTTCTGGGACTCGAGGAGGACCGAAGGCAGGGCAAAAATGGCGGACGGGGTAGCAGGGCCAGAACCGTGGGGCCTGCCCGGGCAAGGCCGTCTGGTGGCGTCGCGCGTCTCCATGGCGACGAGCCGCGTGGCCCAGGAGTGGGCGGAGCTTAGGACGGGCGGGGGCATCTCTGTGACGCCAGGGGCTGGGCCTAAATGGCGAAACCCGAAAGGCTCACCGGGGGGTTTGAACTGGCCAATGGGCGAGCTCCCGACCGTGTGTCGGAGAAGGAGGCGGAAGCGGGGAGGAGTCGCCGCTGGAGCTGGACTACATCCGCCGCGGCGTCTCCATGGCACGACCCTGGCCACCGATTTCAACGACTTCATAAGGAGGCGTTTCTGGGCTCAGCCGTGTCGTTCCTGGTGAGAGGCCGCCAGCAGGCGGGACCCAGGGCGCTCGGGGGCGCCCCGCGGCCGCCGCCGGGGCCGGTCCCCATGGGCTGGGTGGTCCCGCCGGGGTCGCCGTTTGCCGCCGCTCCTGCCCCCGCCGGGTCGCCCCCCGCCTGCAGCCCTCTGGTGCATTTGTCCCGCTCCCGTCAGAATCTGGACCCCCCCCCGCCCCGCCCATCGGCGCGGGCCTTCTCCTCCCGCTAACTGGCCGCCGGCCGCCTCCCGCCTCACTTGGCGACCGGCGGGGCTCGGCTCGCCCCTCTGCTGCCCTCCGGCAGGGCTTCGCCCTTCTCTCTATGGGCATAAACTGGTCCCCAGCTGCCCGCCGGTGGGTAGTCTTCCCTCTTCTCCGCCGACGGAGACTGGCCCCGCGCCCTCTTGTCTGCCGATGGGCGTCACCTGGTTCGCCCTTCCCTCTCTGGGGGCCTCATCATGACAGTTAGTTGCCCTATCTTCGTACTCAGCGCTGTCCCCTGGGGGCCGCCTCCGGATCCCCCGACCCCGCGGGAGCGAGTTCACCCGCCGGGGGTCCCGCTCCGCTCCCTGCACAACCAGGCGTCTTATCCGTTCTACCTTGGAGACTAGATCCCAGCGGCCGCTGCTGTGACCGGGGGGATTATCCCTCCGCCGTCGGGGATACCTACTCGTGGCCTAGCGTCCCTTTTTCCCCGGTTGCTTCCGCTTTTCCCTCCTTCAAATACTATTGGTCCTCTCCGAGTGTCTATTCAGCCGGGAACGCCCCTTCTCCTAGGAGACAGTTGCCCTGGCCCCGCCACGAATAGCCCCCACAACCCTCGCTCCCTGCGCCGGTTCCGGCCCTTTCGGGCCCACTTGGGGCCTAGCGGTTCTCTCCCGCCCTCCGCGCACGTCAGCTAGCACCTCAGGTTTCCCACTTGGTGGGCCCCCACCCACCGTCCCTCCCGGGGCCTGGGCACCGTGGTCCTTTCCCTCGAAGTTCCGCTTTCCGTTCTCCCCGGAGAGGGGAGCGGCCCCCGCCCCCGCGGCCCCCCACCGGCGCCCACCCGCCGCCCCTCAGGTCGCTCAGCCTCTCCTCTCTCCCCCCACTTTGGCAGGACAGTTGCTGTGCGACTTGGACAGTAGAGAGGAGCGCCTCCCAAGTTTTCATCCAACTGCTACCCCCAAAGCTTCCACCCTCCTCCCCTCAGAGAGGACGTTTGATGCCGGGCCCCTGAGAGTCTCATTGACAAGCCCCTCTGGGTCCCCCTGAGCAGAGCCCACCTTTGCGGCTTTGATGCCTAGTCATGTCTGCCTCATCCTCAGGCGGCTCCCCCAGGTACTGCCAGTGTGGGGGGCGCCTCCGCCCGAGGGCAGGGAAAGGTGGTCAGGGGCCCCCGGGCCAGGCTTGCTGGAGGCTTCTCCTTTCAGCTTCTCTGTCCGGTGTATTGAAAGCCTGCACCAAAATATGTGGAAGTCATTTTTAAAGGGAAGGAGGAAAAGAAAAATGCGGGCACACAGTCCCAGCTCTGCTCCCTCCCTCCCTTTCTCCCTCTCTTCCCAGTTGTCCCAGTTCCTGGTAGCAAAATAGGGTCACTAGTGTTGTCTCAATGGAGCGCAAGGCTCAGGTCCCTCCGAGAGGAGGCCAGGTGTGAGTAAAGGACAGTGATATAGGAGATGGATGTGGCAGTTAGCAAGGTGTTGATGGAACCCAAGTTGTTTGATGGGAAGTCCGCTGAGGGGGAGACATGACCCAAATCTTCTGGCTTCAAGTGAATAGGAATGTTCTAAGTGATGGGGGCGGTGGGCGGGGCGGGAAACAAGTATCTACTCAGATTTGGTATTCTTTGGCTAAACGTTGAGTAGAGCTCAGTAAATAATTTTTCTCTTTATCAAGGTGTGATATAAGACAGCAAAAGGCATGCTGAGTGGCTCAAAGATTTTTCTATTGCATTTTTATGTTGCGTTATTTTCCCCAGGTGTTTGTGGGGAGGGTGAAGTCATATTTCGGGGCTGTCAGAAGGCCCGCGGGACGGAGCAAATGAACTTTTCAAGGACCTTCCCATCCTGGAATGCTTGCGTGTATTGCTGCCAAATTTTGGAGATTAAATATCGGCTCCATTTGCAGATCTGGTGGTGGGGTTGTTTATGTATAAGCAAGATGAATTACCCGTGGTATTTTTTTTTAAAGATTTTATTTATTTACTTATTTTAAGAGAGAGGGGAAGGGAGGTTGCCTCTTGAGCATCCCTTACGGGGACCGACCCACAACCCAGGCCTGTGCCCTGACTGGGAATTGAACAGGCGACCCTTTGCTTTGCAGTCAGGCACTCAATCCACTGAGCCACATGAACCAGGGCTACCCATGGTGTTTTTTTTAAAACCCAAAACAAAAATAACCCTGCTTCTTAAGAGCTTAACAAGTAGCAAGTGGGATATTTTGGGAAACACTTAACATTTCATCCTGTTAGTTGACCGTTTTATGGACTCGAGTCACAGGGACTTTGTTCTGGGGCTTGTAGCTCTTTATGTCAGTCATTCACTGAGCATTTCTCCAGAGCCACCTCTGCGCCAGGCACTGTCCTGGGCACTTTCACCCTTGGCTGAACTAGTAGTGCTGCCTGCTTTTTGTCACCTGACAGGATGACATCTGAGCTTTTCAGCAAAAGGTCACAATCCGTGTGATGCGATGGCAGGTTAAAAGGCCAGCCTTGTGAGCGCCCACCACCCCTGTTTCCATCCCACCGCAGGGCACACCATGCATGTTCGGTGCCCATGTAAGGAGAGCCGAGTGATTCCAGACCGGTTCTCTCTGCTGTCAACTTGTAACGCACCACATGTAGTATATAATTTTGAGAGCTCTAAGAAATAGAAGAACCCTAATTTTCTGCTTATAATCTGGTCCTTGTGCCTGGGTGCAGGTTTCCATCGTGTGGGAAGAACGGAGTAACAAGTCTCACGCAGAAAAAGGTCTTGAGGACACCTTGTGGCGCACCCAGTGTGACTGTGACGGTAGGTGACATGCACAGGGAGCAGCCCTGCCAAAAACGCCTCGGCACCCCTTTTCCAGGAGCTGCCTTCCCCTGCTGATACCACTGTGGCCTGACGCTCTGCTAGATGCCTTCATGCATGTCCTGCTGGTGGATTGGGTTGGGTTTTTTGGGGGTTTTTTTTTTTTTTGCTTGTTGTAGGGCTGCCAGGGGCAAGGAGGTTGTCTTAATCCTTCCAAACAAATTCCAAAAGTCTTTAATAATAATAATAATAATAAGATTGGGGACGGGGAGAGGAGCTGACAGTGAGCGAGGGGTATGCAGTTGGCATTTTGCCTTGCTTGTACGTGTTTTAGAATCTCTACAACCTTCTCATCTTGGCGTGCCCTCCAGCTCTCTGTTCGCATCACCCCTTCCCTGCCCGCCGCCTGATTTATCGTGCCCCCTAATCATTCTGTGTGTCTGCCCTGCTAACGCGCATGTCCAGTTCAGGTGACAGTGTAGGAGGATTCACCTGCTTCACAGCTGTGCTCCGCTAAGTCCGAGAAGAGCTCTGTGTCCCAGCAGGCTGGGACGGAGGTCCAGCTCGGAGGACCCTGGGGCCTGGGTTTGGGCTCTTTTGTAGAACGTGTGGGTCTTGCAGACCCTTCTCTCGGCTGGACCCGAATCTCTCTAGTGGTCGTCCGCTGAGATCTCTCCAGGAGCCTGCTGAATGGCACTGCCGCCTTGGTTCCTGCCTGCATGCCAGTAGTTAGTGGCTGTCCTGCTTGCTTGGTGGCTAGGCTTTCAGTGGCCCCCAGAGGCTGCCAGCTCTGTTTTTTATGCCCAGTTTGCTCATCCACAGATCAACCTTTTTTGTGTTGCCCTCCCCGGCCTGCCAGAAGCAAACCATGAAGGACCGCTCTTCAACTCCCCCCTTACATGTTCACGTGGATGAGAACACCCCTGTCCACGTCCACATAAAAAAACTCCCGAAACCGTCAGCGACCAGCAGCCAGGTAGGAGCCTGCCAGCGGGGCGAGGTGCAGGCTGTGGAGCAGGGTGGCTCCTCTCAGCTCAGCCGCCTTGCACTGCTGACTCCAAAGGTTTGACAGACGCATGCACTTGCTTTCGGAGCCCTGTCGCCTGGTTAGACGGTAGGCAGGACTGCCATCCAGAAATGGCGGTAGGAGTCAGGAGAGGCTCCCGCACAGAGTTGAAGATGGATGCCACCAGCGTGACGCCATACCAGCTGTGGGGAAGTGACCCTGGGTTTGTCCCTTTCCACAGAAATCTCATAAGCGCGGAATGAAAGGGGACACCGTGAATGTGCGGCGGAGTGTCCGGGTGAAAACCAAGGTACCTTGGATGCCCCCTGGAAAATCATCCACCCGGCATGTGGGATGCAAGTGGGAGGTAGGCTCACTCTTGTTCAGGCTTTTCCTCTCGGCCTGGTCAGGGTCTGTCTAGCGGGCATCAAACGCGGTCTGATTCAGGGTCGGCTGTAGCTGTTAGAGACGTCCCAGTGGGGGCTGTTTCCCCGGCCTTGCTCAGCCCTGAAAGTACGTGAGTCTTCTCGAGTCCTCAACGCACCACAGTGCGGTAGGTCCTGCTCTCCTGGCGTACAGATGAGGAAACCAAGGCCCGGAGAGGTGAAGGCTCACAGAGAAAGTAGCTGAGCTGGAGTAGGACTCAAGGGGGGTTCTCATTCTAGAGGCTGTACTTTTTTTTTAAATTGATTTTGAGAGAGAGAGAGACATCAATTTGTCTTCCCAATTATTGAGGCATTCACTGGTTGATTCTTGTGTGTGCCCTGACCGGGGATCACACCTGCAGCTTTGGTGTATTGGGACTGCGCTCTAACCAACTGAGCTCCCTGGCCAGGACACTTCTGACCGCTCAGCTTTGTGTGTGAGGAGCCACGTGTCTTTTCCCACGTAACTGAGAGAGTATCTGAGGCATAGCTACATGTGCATATACACCAGAATGTACATATCCAGGAAAGCATCGCCTCTCCTGAGGTCGTCACCGTAACACCACACACGTATTCCACAAATGTCATCAAAGCCACTTTGGAACAATCTCCCAGGGCATAATTGACTTCAAATTTAGTTGTCAAGATGCCAAGAGAACTGTTATCTTTTTTTTAGCCACACCTCAACATGTTTTGCCTGTCCATTCCTCCCTGCAGTACTTTATGCTACATGTGTCTATTGAGCCTTGTGCCAGGCTCCGCTGGGCCCTGGGGTTATACCTGCACCATGGCAGATGTGACCACCTTCTGCTTCCATTCTAGTCAATTGCAGTGAAAAAACCCCATGATGAGACAAGGCCTTTTGGGCACGTTTTAGACATTGATCTCATGATTGGGACAAATACAGGACTTGAGACTACTTTAAAATGACGATACCTGATCTATTTTGAAAGATTCAGTCTTTTTCTGATAGCTTTATTACTTTAAAAATGAGAAGAAAATAAAAGTAATTACTCTAAAGTTTATAATCATACTCATGGTTTTAACTTCCTGGTTTACCAGTTTTTCTCTGAGATTAAGGGAGTGTGGAGTATGTTAGGGAATAAATGAAATGTGTTCTGACTACTGTGTATTTAAAATACAGGAAAGAATGGAATTCAAATGATATCATTTTTTTTTTACTATGAGGACCCCACTAATAATCAGTGAAATATAAATTTAAAACTATATATATATATATATTTTAATGATTTTATTTATTTTCAGACAGAGGAGAAGAGAGGGAGAGAAACATTGATTGGTTGTCTCTTGTTCGCCCCCAGTTGGGGGCCTGGCCCACAACCCAGGCATGTGCCTGGACTAGGAATCGAATTGGTGACCTTTGGGTTTGCAGGCCAGTGATCAATCCAGTGAGCCACACCAGCCAAGGCTAAAAACAACTCTATTTTGAAAACAGATAGCTATCATTTATTGAGTAGAAAAAGTGGAAAAGATTACAAATGTCTTGTATTGGCATGCATACGGGGTATCAGTGAATCGTTTTGGACAGTTTTGAGAGGATCCTGAAACTGACTCAGTTGTTCTGGAGGCAGCTTGGCAGCCTCTGAACATTGATTCTATAGTTTTCCACTTAGGAATTTATCCTTAAGAAGTCACAGAAGATCACAGGGATCTGTGTATAAAGATGTTTGCTATAGCACTGTTTGTGATAGAGAAAAATTGGAAGCAACCTAAATATCAATCAGGAGGGTATTGGTTAAATTATGGTACATTTATACAATGGAATACCATGCAAACACGACGGAGATTGAGGTAGTATTTATACGCGATAAAGAATCATAGAGCCACAGAGTATATAGAATTTGGCCCAATTTGTGCAGAAAAGGGCATCTGTGCATTCCTGTGTTGTGGATATGTTTGTATGCACATAACATTTTATGGGAGATTATACAGGAAGTGTTAAGCAGTGATTAACCCCTGGAGTGTGGGAGCCTTTAATGGTTTATTGTTTTTTTTTTTCCAGTGGCTGCTTGAATTTCTTTATAACAAGCATACTATATTTTATAGCTTAAAATGCTTTTCAAGAAACTGAGAAGACTTGGTAGCTTTTGAAGCACACATTAAAGTTATGCCGCAGTAGAAATTGACTGCCTGTTGATATGGGTCGCTAGGAACTGTGATGTGGAAAGCTCAGTGTCCCTTCTAGTCCTGGGGCTACAGAATCTAGTCATCTTGTCATCTCTGAAACAGTAGCTGTCTTTCATGCTGTTTGGGCCACCCGTTTTGAATTTCCAGGGGCCTCCCACATTCCTGGGAGACCCCAGCCTGGCCCTTGCTATTTGGGACAAGAGAGAAAAGCCGCCAGGAGGAAACTTCGGTGCAGTGAAAAGTGGCCCCCTCAGAAGCTGCTGTGTGCATTGGGAGATTCTAGTTTGATTTTTATTTTTTTAAAGACACATTAAAGTGGTTTGTTTATTATTTTTTACTTTTTATTTCTTGATTTCAGAGCGAGAGAGAGAGAGAGAACATCGGTTTGTTATGCCATTTATCCATGGCTTCACTGGGTGTTTCCTATAGGTGCCCTGACCAGGGATTGAACTTGCAACCTAAGTTTCTGGCCAGGGCTAGTTTGGTTTAAAAAATCCCCCTTCTGATACATAGGATTAGCTTTGGCAGAAAGGAGGTCTGGGTTTTTCTTCTGTTATTAAAGTGACCTCTTTCAATCATGGAAAGTTGAAAATACAGAAAAGTAGAAAGTTACCTGTAAACCCCTTACTCTAACGTGTCTCCTATTAAGTTTTAAAAGCTTTTTGTTGAAAAACACAGAAAGGACACATTAGAAGTGTGTTAGTTGATGAATTCTTAGCAAACACTTGTGTAACCATCACCTAGTCCATGAAACATCACCAGCTTCCCTGGAGCCTCCCCTCTGCTGCTGTTTTTGTCACTAAGTCCCCCAAGAATAATCACTGTCCCAAAACTAATATTTTAGTACTTTTACTATCATTTTTCCCTGTGCAGCATTTTCTTCCTTTGTTTTGTTTTTTATTGATTATAATGACCCTGTCTATATATTTTCCTATTATCCTTTTTTTAAATATTAAAAATTACTTTTTTCTTATAAAAGCAGTGAGTAGTCATTGTTGGCACATTAGAAAATCCGCCCCAGACTGGTGTGGCTCAGTTGGGCATTGGCCTGCAAATCCAAAAAAGGTCGCCTGTTAGATTCGGGTCAGGGCACACGCCTGGGTGCGGGGCCAGATCCCTGGCTGGGGGCATGTGAGAGGCAACCAGTCGCTGTCTCTCTGGCATATTGATGTTTCTCTCCCTCTCTTTCTCCCTCCCTTCCCCTCTCTCTAAAAATAAATAAATAAAATCTTTAAGAAGAAAAAGAAAAAGAAAATCCAAATTAAGGAAGAAAATAAAAAACAACTGTGATCCTACCAGCCTGAGAAGTCTTCCTGATCTTTTCTTATGAACAGATTCATTTTTGAGTTTTGTAACAGTGGGATCGTATTTTCATTATTGTAAGAACATCCTTTTTTAAAAACATACTTTGACTATGTTTGCATGGCATGTTATTTTTTTTAAGGCAGTATTCCATAGTGTGTATATTTGTACTATTATGTATTTAACCAATACTGTTTTGTCATACATTTATCTATATCCTTGCCTTGACTTTCAGTACTGATTCAGATTCTTGATAAATTCCAAAGGCACGTGCATTTTTTAAATTGTACCCCAAGTCCTCCTTATTTGGCCTACAGTTACACCCTTACTGAACACTTCCTTTTATTCCTAATAGCCATCATCTTCCCCTGGAAATTGACACAGAAGGTCAGCTGACGTCTGCCTAAGAGGAGCAAAGAACTGTATAAATAAAGAGCAATAGCAACTGCTTAGTACATCAGAATAAATTTATGTAATGAGTCAAGTTCAATCTGTCAAAAACCTATGGAAAGCTTGGACCCCCAGATTATACTATTCTTTTTGGTCTTTTTTTTTTTTAAATTTTTATTTATTGATTTTAGAGAGAGAGAAACATTGGTTTGTCGTTCCACTTATGCATTCACTGGTGGATTCTTGTATCTGCCTTGACTGGGGACCGTACCGCACCCACCTGATGTGCGGGGAAGCCACTCTCACCGGCTGAGCTGCCGGCCAGCGCTCTTTCTGAAGTCTTAAAAGCAAAGTAGTATACAGCTGTGCATAAACTTCTGAGGGGCTCATGCATTTAAAAGTTTTATGTTGATGTATTGAAATATTTTCCAGACATCACACCATACTCAATTATTCAGTATTCATTTCTAATAACATTTTTCTCTATGACCAAATGATGATGATTACACCTAAAATCTTTATTTCTAAATATCATATATTATCTGGTGCACATTCTTTACTTGTCCTTCAAACTACCTTTTATAGAAGATTGGTTACCTTTGCAACTCTCTACTATGAGGCATTCCTATTCATTTAAAAGACTTTTGACATCTTTCACTTCTACCCTAGCCATATCAAAACATCTCTTGCCCCAAACTTTTGCCAACTGAGGCAACTTTTGTGTTGATTTAGGAATTACTAGTTTTGCCATTTTTGTTATAGTCTTTATTTTAAGCTTCATTTCTGTGTTAGAAAAACTTCAAAAACATTTAAACTGGGGTAGGTGACATTGCATCAAGAAGGTACAGCAGGATCATCCTCGCGCGGTCCCCGGGGTTCCCGGGGCTGGCCCTCCAGCAGTTTTGGTCCTTCCTGCCTCCAGTGGACAGCCAGGTGTGGTGGCGCTGGTGGCTGTGGGGTCTCCTTTTTGCCTTGTGAGTTCACGTGTTCTCCCTCCTCCGTATCAGAATCCACCTCATTGCCTGGAGATCACGCCACCATCGTCAGAAAAGCTGGTCTCAGTGATGCGGTTAAGCGACCTCTCTACAGAAGATGACGACTCAGGTCACTGCAAAATGAATCGTTATGATAAGAAGATTGACAGTCTGATGAACGCAGTTGGTTGTCTCAAATCGGAGGTGAGGGGTGTGAGGGGGCTGAGACAGCGGGTGCCTGAGGATGTGTGGGGCTGCCCAGGCGCATTGCTGGTGGGCGCTTCCTTGCGGCTGCCTCTCTGCAGGCCTCCCTCGCTCCTCAGCAGGCCTCCAGGACTTTGGATGCCCCTGGAGAGCGAGCTGGGCCAAGCTGGTGTCCCTCTCCATGGAGCACTCAGCCCGCGCCTGGCGCTGGCCTTGCCTGGTGCTCTGTATGGATGGCCTGTTTTAATTTTTTGTAACGGTAAATGATCCTGGTGGTAGTATTGTCCCCATTTTGGAAATGAAGTGACTGGAACACTGGGGCCCCTGCTTTCCATTTTATACAAAAGATTAAAAAAAAAAAAAAGTCCAAAGGGGTGAAGGACGTTTGTCCTCAGTTGCTGGACTATGTCTTTGGCTGGGATATGGCAATGGGATCAGAAACAGCCTGGAAGGCCACCGCCCCAACTAGGAAGTTGGTGTCTCCAGCATGAAATCCAGATCTTGCTGGCTAAGTGGCCTGTGTCTTTAACGGGGCCCACGGGCCCTCCTGGAGGGCCTGGGGCGGGCTGCCCGGCCGCAGCCCCTCCGTCCGCTGCAGCCCACAGCACGGGGCTCTTTTGTCACATCTCTCCTCCAGTTGAACCACCAGTTTGTGTCCCAGTTCTGTCCCCGACCGGCAAGCCACTCAGGCTCTCTGCCTGGAGGCCTCAACGAGGAGGAAATGAGAGGACTAGTACTTGTCCAGGGTCTTTGCGACAATTAACTTAGATTGTACCCAGAAGCAGCAAGTGCTTATGCGGTTCTCACGTGGAGGTGCCCTTAATTTGATCCAAAGCAATGGGCCTAGCGATGTGGCGGAGACCAGGGGCTGCCGCTCAGTGGCTCCTGCCTGCGTGCCCCTGCACAGGTCAAGATGCAGAAGGGTGAGCGCCAGATGGCCAAAAGGTTCCTGGAGGAGCGCAAGGAGGAGCTAGAGGAGGTGGCCCAAGAGCTGGCTGAGACCGAGCACGAGAACACGGTGCTGAGGCACAACATCGAGCGCATCAAGGAGGAGAAGGACTACACCATGTGAGTCGGCCCTGCCCTGGAGCCCAGTCCCTCCTTAGCCACCTGATTCTTGGTATGAGGGAAGAGGAACCCCCACAGTGCTGGGGTCGGGGTCAGGGAAGCCTCTCTGGAAGAAGCGACATTTAAGGGGAGTCCTGTAGATGGTTAGGCAGGTGGGTGCTGGGGAACATCTTATGTGAAGGCCCCAAGATGGGAGGATTGTGTGACGGAGAAGTGGAAAGCAGGCCAGAGAGAAAAGAGAGGGTGGGCAGAGGGCAAGGGGTGCTGCGGAGTTTGGCGGGGCCGGTTCCTAGCGACCACTTTGAGGAGTTTGCATGGAGGGCAGTTGGGAGCCTTGGGTTTTCAGAGCAGGGAGAGCCTTGGGTGAGCACACTCGGCTCCAGTGTGGAGAGTGGGTGGGAGGGCTCCGGGGCTGATCTGAAGCTGGTTAGGAGGCCATGGCAGTGGCGATGCTAGTGGCTGAGAGATAAGCAGGACTATAGGTGACATAATGTGACCTGGTGTGGAAGTCCTGCTTTGGTGCCCAGGGGTCTTTCTAGAAGGCCATTTGGTCCAGGGGGTCTGCCCCCCCCGCCCCTGTCCCCTCACCGGGAGGCAAGCCTCACAGGGTCACAGGGCATTGTGAGGCGGGCCTCAGAGCTCCGGGCAGGCAGGGGCCTGAGAGGGCTCAAAGCGCCGTATTCTTCCTGGCCCCAGGCTTCAGAAGAAACACCTCCAGCAGGAGAAGGAGTGCCTCATGTCCAAGCTGGTAGAGGCTGAAATGGATGGGGCCGCCGCCGCCAAGCAAGTCATGGCCCTGAAGGACACCATCGGAAAGCTGAAGACGGTGGGTGGCGGCAGGCTGACCTAGCCCTGGGACTGGGTACAGAGAGGAGGCGGCCGCTGGCTGTGGGGACACTTTATGCAGTCATCAGGCTGGCTTTGTGACATCTCCAGGCTGGGGGAGGGCCCATGTAACTCCTTAGCCCCACCCCCCACTCTCACGCCCGAGGCCTGACCCTCCAGGATGACTTCTGGTGGCCAGGGCCTCTGAGGGGAGACCTCATCATGGGTCTCCTAGGATCACTCAACCATCTGATTCCTATAAGTATAGTATCAACCACCAGGTATTGTCTCTCTTGCCCCCGTGCTTTCTCCAGGAAGCCCACCCCGACTGCACTTACCCGCAACGGGCTCCCCAGCCCCTTTCCCCACTTGTCGCTGGCAGTAGGCTCGGGCCCCACCCATCGCTCCAGGCCCACCACGTCCGGGGAGCCTGCCCTCACCGCCCTGGCCCTGTACACAGCCCAGCTCATCTTGCCTGGACTTCCGGGCACCAGCTCCTCTGGGGCACCCCGCGTGGCCTGCCGCTGCTCTCCCCCCCCTTCTCCCCCGTGCCCTGTGAGACTGCTTGCTGTCTTCCAGGAGAAACAAATGACCTGCTCGGACATCAACACCCTGACAAGGCAGAAGGAACTTCTCCTGCAGAAGCTGAGCACGTTCGAGGAGACCAACCGCACCCTCCGAGACCTGCTGAGGGAGCAGCACTGCAAAGAGGTGAGCCCTGGCCCCTCCCCTCCGTGACAGGCCGTCCCCGCTGAGCCTCAGTCTCCCCCTCTGGAAAATGGCGCGTGACTGGAGGGGGCTGTAGAAAGGTGTGATGCGATCACTCACGCAGAGTGCTGGCACCTGGTAGACGTGGGAGCTGGGCGCGGTGGCGCGGGAGGGACCCTTGGAGTCAGGATCAGGAGAAGGGCAGTCGGGAGGCAGGCAAGGGGGGTTCAGCCTGTTCCATGGCTCGTGCAGCTAAACGGGGGACCACTGGGCCTGCGCTTCGGCGACGCAGGAAAGAGACTAAGGGCTGGCAGACACGAATTGTAGGGCGTCACATCATTTTCTGAAAAGGTGGCCTCTGACATATATTCTATGTTAGCAAATAATTCTGAAAAGGCTGACTGTATAAGTAGCTGTGTCCCTTTTGATTCAAACCAAAGGGATAATAACCAAGAGTCTCAAAATCCTGTGCTGATGAAATGATGGCAATTTTTTTTTTAGTTCAGTGGGTGTTTTTCCCCCAACATTGTCAACTTATTTTTACTTTTGAAAACTAGTATTTAAAATGAGTAAAGTAACGTGGTACATGCACTGTCCAGCTTTCCAAACAAAACCTCGTCCCCATAGTTAAATCCCTCTTGTGTCTCCTTTGGCGATGACTCCTCGTCTCCCTGCCCTCAAAGGGGACCCTGGTCTCCAATCCGATAGTTTCATCACTTACGTAGGCATCTCTAAGCAATATGTAGTATTGCAGAGTATGTTTTCAAACTTTACATAAACGGCCTCATTCCACATGTATTCTGTTGAATTTGCTTTTTTTACTCAATATTTTTATAAGATTTATCCATTTTTGTTTCGGTTATTTTTTAAGTTTCATTTTTTAATGTTTTTACCTTTCTTTTTAGATTTCATTTATTTATTTTTTAGAGAGAGGGGAAGGGAGGGAGAAAGAGGGAGAGAAACATCAATGTGTGGTTGCCTCTTGCGCTTCCCCTACTGGGGACCTGGCCTGCAGCCCAGGCACGTGCCCTGACTGGGAATCGAACCAGCAACCTTCTGGTTCACAGGCTGGCACTCAATCCACTGAGCCACACCCAGCTGGGGCACGTTCTTTTTTAACATTTTTTTCCCGTTACTCTTTATCCCCCCCATACCTTCCTCCTTCTCCACCCACAGCCCCTCCCTCTGAGATTCATCTGTTTTTATTCTTTTGGCTTAAAATAATTAATTGCCATTTTATGACAATCCCACAATTTGTGTACCCATTCTTCTGTCGATGGAGACCTTGTTTCAGCTGTTCGCTATTACAAGTAGTGTTATTGTGAGCACTCATGTACACTGACCTGGGGGCTTGAGAGTTTCTGGAATATATTTCTATGGATTTTACTAGTTATAGCAAAATTACTCTCTTACAATTGTAATTACTGTTTTATTTCTGGCTCAGTGTTTTCGGGTGGGGGATTTGTACCTCTCTTATTTGTGGCAGCTGAAACGCCCTGCAGAAAGCCCCTCTTGGTATGAACCCTAAAGAGACACTTGGGACATGCCCAGCGATGTCTATTCAGTTACAGAACCTGGGCCGAACCGTGCTGCCCAGAGGTTAGGAGGAGGGTTGAGAAAGTGCAGGGGCGCGTTAGGGACAGGAAGCCGACGCGTGGCGGCCGGGGGAGGCAGAGAATGGAGACTGCCTGCTCAGTGGGTGCAGGGTTCCTTTTGGGGCGATGAAGGCGTCCCGGAGCTAGATAGCAGTGAGGGTTGTGCAGGATTGTAAACGTACTATCGGCCTCAGAATTTTACGCTTTATAGTTAAAAGGCAAAGTTTATGGTAGAAGTATTTTCCCGCAATTTTAAAAAACTAATCATGAAATGTACCCAAGACAGTTGAATCATACATTTTAAATGGGTGACTTGTATGGTATCTGACATTAAAGCTATTTTTAAAAATATCAAGTTCCAACACAAAAATACAGTGTGATAGATAACATTTTGGTAAAATTACACGTGAATCCCTGTCTACCACCCAAAAGATGCTATTTCCCTGCGTGTCGCTCTATAAATGCGTGGAGGAAGGATGGGCGGGACACTCACCAAGCCAATAACAGTAGAGCGGGGACGAGGGGCCCTTGAGCTTTACCAGTGTTCTCTAAATATTTTTAAATGAGAGTGTAATTTTATTACTTTCATAATTAGACGTGTCATTGGACGTGTCAAAAACCGTCTAAAGGTATAGATTTTGACTCAACAATTCCAATTCCAGGAATGCTTCCCAAGAGGAAGAGAATCAATAGGCTGTAGCCACCTGGATTTATTGCTTAATGATTGACTTGGTTTTCCCTTTGCTTTCCCTGGAAGGATTCCGGAAGGCTGATGGAGCAACAGGGAACCCTTCTGAAACGGCTGGCGGAGGCAGACTCTGAGAAAGCGGTAGGTCAGGCGCCCCTGCCTGCTCTCGGGGGTCACCTCGAAAAAGCCACAGGCGCCGGATGGAGGCAGGAGGGCTGCCTGGGTACCCGCTCTCACTTTCCTGAGTCTCAGTTTCATGATCTGTAAAACGGGCCGGTGTCCCCTGTCCACCCTGCTCCACTGGGCTTGTCTAGTTGATCAGCTGAGAGCTTGAGCCCCCAAGCCGGACACCAGCCTGAGAGATGGTGGTGATGACGATGGATTTACAAATCACCGCCATCTGTCACCTGAATTTCCGTATTTGGATTATGGATCAAAAACCATCAAAAGGTATAGATTTTTGACTCAACAATTCCCATTCCAGGAATGCTTCCCAAGGCAATATGTTCCAAAATTTACTCCATGGAACCCTAAGTTCCTCAAGATGTGAATGGGTCCAAAACAAAAGGGAGGAGGGATCCATGGCCAGATAAATTTGGGAACCTACTGGGTGGCCTGAACAAAAGGCTCAGTGGGTTTCCTAACTCCAGGGCCTCTTGGAGCCTCTGGTGTGTTAGTGCCCCGCCTGCTTCCCAAGGTTTGGCCCCTGACCCTCAGTGAGTCTCTGCACCTCTGTGAAAATTCAGCAGCTCCGGTGATGATGCCCAAACCTGCGTTCCCAGCTTGGGAGGCCTTGTCAAACTGTGATACATCAGCACATTGAAACATGAAGCAGCTGTTTCAAAAGCTGTGGAAGATCTAATCACATTGTGGCAAATGTGGGAGTGTAGGTTATAGAACCAAATAAGCATGTGACTTCTTACTGTGTGTTATCTCTGGGTTGGGGATAGTGAGAATTCTTTAGCATATTTTTGTGTGTTTTTCAGTGTTTCCCACAATTAATGTTACCTTATTTTATTTTTTATTTGTTATTTTATTTTTAAAAATATTTTATTTACTTAGTTTTAGAGAGAGGGGAAGAGAGGGAGACAGAAGGGTAGAGGAACATCGTTGTGTGAGATTGCATCTCGCACGCCCCTAATGGGACCTGGCCTGCAACCCGGGCATGTGCCCTGACCCGGAATAGAACTATTCAATGCTCAGTCCACTGAGCCATACCAGCCAGGACAATGCTATCTTATTTTAAATTGCAAAATAAATACATGTTTATTGTCTTAAATATTTAATTCAGATGTTAGATGCTTCCCGCCAAGGTCTCTGTGACATGGACCAATGTATTTGGCCCCTTGGGTGCCCTGGTGGCCAGGCCCTCACGGGACTGTGTCTCCTCTCTGGGCGGGCTCCGAGCCCCTCCCAGAGAGCTCATGACCATGTGTGTTCTCTGCAGCGGCTGCTGCTACTGCTGCAAGATAAGGACAAGGAGTTGGAAGAGCTCCTCCAGGAAATACAGTGTGAGAAGGTACCGTCCCCAGCAGTTGTTCCTTCTTACGGGCCAGTAGAGCACCATGGGTGGAGTGCAGTCTGGAACTGGAGACCTGGGTTCAAATCCTGCCTCTGTCACTCTCTCCATCTCTCCAAAGGCTCAAGCAAAGACAGCATCCGAGCTCTCTAAGTCTATGGAGACCATGCGTGGGCATCTTCAGGCACAGCTTCGGTGCAAAGAGGCAGAGAACAGTCGCCTGTGCATGCAGATCAAGGTGCTTGCTGGCCCCATTGGTGGGGAAAGTGGGGCAGGGGCCTGGCAGTCCAGGGGTGGTGGGCTGGCCAAGGCTGTCACACTCAGGAGGGCTTTGCCCAGAAGGACTGTGGGGCAGCTGCTGCCAAAGTGCTTGTGCTTCAGAGAGACTCTGGGACATTGGCGACAATGGTGGACCTGGAGGTCTTGGGTGCCCTTCCCAGCAGTGAAGGGCATGGGCCCTGAGCCCGTCACTTTATCCCTTAGGCCCTCAGTTCTCCTAGGGACCCATCGGGAGGAGGGACGGTCTCAAATGCTGGTTGCAGGGACCCTCTGAAGTCACAGCTCTGCTGAGTGACAGGGATATCTCTAACTACTATGCTGGGAGCTCAAGGAAGCGTTCCAGGAGAGTTCCCACGCTGAGACCTGATGGGCTCAGCGGTCCAGGGAAGGACCCCTAGTCTCTAGTCTGCGTTTGGGGAGACCTAACTCCCTGCAGTTTATGACCGGTTCTTTCTCCCTCTCCCTCATTCCCTCTTTTCAATGGTCCCCTTTGCTCCCTCAATCCTCTTGACTCTCCGCCTTGCCTTCCCCGTCTCTCTCCCTCACCCCATTCTTCTCCCCCAATCTGCTCCCTGGCTCTGCGCGCCCAGAACCTGGAGCGCAGTGGGAACCAACACAAGGCGGAAGTGGAGGCCATCATGGAGCAGCTGAAGGAACTGAAGCAAAAGGGAGACCGAGACAAAGAATCCTTAAAGAAGGCCATCCGAGCCCAGAAGGAACGAGCCGAGAAGAGCGAGGAGTACGCTGAGCAGCTGCACGTGCAACTTGCTGACAAGGTAGCAGCCTTCCCTGAGCGGGGCTGCTCCGGGGCAGGGGTGGGGTGGGTGCTAGGTGGGTAGCGGGGGTGGGGGAGCACAAAACCTGGATACAGGTGGCCGGGTGGGTGTGTGGAGGGAGAATGGCAGGGGAGACGGTGGAGGAGCTGGTAGGGTGGATGGCTGGGGGGAGGGGGAGGGGTGGGGGGGTTGAATGGGTAAGAGGGTGATACCGGGGGTGGGTGGCTGGCTGAGGTGACTGGAGGGTTTGTAGGACAGTTTGGCCACATCAATATTGTACGTAGGGACGATGGGTAAGGTGGGGTTTGCGTGCTGTGCATGTGATTGCTGGGAGTCTGGAAGCCAGCCCTGGCCCCCGCCGTCCCTCCCGGTGCTCTCTACAGCGGGACGGCGGGAATGAGGGGCAGGGGCTCGCCCAGCACTGACACCAGGCTGACAGGCCCTGTCATCCTGTGTTCCCAGGATCTTTATGTTGCGGAAGCTTTATCCACTCTGGAATCATGGAGGAGCCGCTACAACCAAGTTGTGAAGGACAAGGGGGACCTCGAGCTGGAAATTATCGTCCTGAATGAGTACGTCTGTGTTGGGAGAGGGAGCATGGGCCGACGGAGGGAAGTGGGGGTGCAGGTGGAAGGAGGCTGGCGGCCTGAGGCGGGCAACCTCTCTCACACAGCAGCCTCTTGGGCTCCCGGGCAAGGGCCGCAGTGGACTGAGGCGTGGGCAGCCCTGAGGAGGGCTTTCTGGTTGGACCCCAGGTCCCTGACTCCAGCTCCTGGGCCCACTCTGGGTCCTGATCTGCACAGCACAGGACATGGGCAGAGGAACACTGGTCACCTCATTCCTGTCCTTGGGAGATAGGACGGCTGGTAACCCCTGTATCTCTCTGCTGTTCTGCCAACCAGTCGGTAGGTCAGAGGCGTGACCTGGGAGCAGAGGACAGAAGTGGCCTCGCTATGTGCTCTATAGTGACTATTCACACATTCTCAGTGTCAGCTATGTTCACATGTTCACTCATTTAAAAACATTTACTGAGCATCTGCTATATACTAGGCCATGTGCCGCCCTTCAGGGTTACAGCAGTTTTTTTAAAAAAAAGCATTCTCTGCCTTTGTGGAGGTAACATTGAACTCAACCGGAGGAGCTGGGGCAACAGAGCCTGGACTCGCTGGGCCGAGGGCAGGCCACGGGACCACCTAGTCTCCAGGTCAGGCAGGTCTTCCCCGAGGAAATGCCTTTTGCTGTGTTCAACTCAGTTTAGCAAACAGTATCCTAAGAACCTGCTACGTGCTGGGCCCTGTGCCAAGTGCTCCTCTCGGAAGGTTCTCCATCTCATGCGAGATAATGGATAATTAGGATAGAAGGGTAGATAGCACAGATGAAAGGGGTTGGGGGCGAGATACTCTGAGAAAGGAAGCCCGAGCTGGGCTTTGAAGGGCATGTAGGTGTTTGCTGGGTGAAACAGCCTGACGCGCTTCCTGGGGCACGGTCAGTGCGCAGGAATGCTTGCTGACTGGACCGCACTTGATCGACGCAGGATGCACACTGCGGAAAGGCCCTGTGCGGGTCTGTGGTCACGGGAGACAGGGGGCATGTCTGAGCGCCAGCGCCCCTTGGAGGCTGTGGTCTCTGCTCCTGGGCGATTTCCCTGCTAAGCGACCGAGGGGGAGGAGACGGGGACCGCAGGGCTGGTGGGACCCAACTGCCAAGGTGACTTCTCTCCTGTTGTTTCATTTACATTCTTTGCAATGCCTGCCTGAGCTAGGTGAGAGCTCACACACGTGAACAAGCCATTCGTGACACCTGCCCTTGCCAGGAGACACGGAGCCCCAGTGTGCGGTGTCCCCGAGGGAGAGGGATGCCTGGGGCATGGTATCCCTGATGCCCAGCCTGGAGCTCTGTCCTAACTTCAAGACCCGATTAGCCAAGAGACCCAGGCGGTGCTGCGGGGAGCGGGGAAGCGGTCGAGTCTCTAGTTCTTGTCTTCAGGAAGTGGCCTCACAGGAGGATCAGAATGGAGAGGAGGCTATTAGAGGGGTTGGTACGGGAGACAAATCTCAAAGGTGGTTATCAAAGATGGGCTCCGTGGGAATGCCGCACACAGCAACGGCAGGACAGGGCAGCTGCTTCCCAGGGTGGAGGCTGGGGAGCAGGCAGGGGGCCACGAGGTGGGACGTGACCTGGGGAGGCTTGACCAACTCTGCAGACCTGGGCTCCTCAGAACCTGTGTAATTGATTCTCCCTATCTTCTTTCACTTCGTCACCTTCCAGCCGAGTGACAGATCTCGTAAACCAACAGCAAACCTTGGAGGAGAAGATGCGGGAAGACCGGGACAGCCTGGTGGAGCGGCTACACCGGCAGACCGCCGAGTATTCCGCGTTCAAACTGGAGAATGAGAGGCTGAAGGTCTGTAGTGAGAGCTGGGGCCGGGACATGTGGGGGATGGCACAGAGGCTGGTGGCTGGCCCCAGAGAGGACTGGGGGGGGTCTTCGGAGCGCCTGGAGGGAACAACGTGATTAAGAGGCTCAGGAGCGAGACAGACCCGGATTCAAGGCCAGCCTCTGCCTCTGACTGGCTAAAGCGCCTGGGCGAGAAATCTTGCCCTTTGTCACTGCCTTGTAACCTGTCTTGGAGGTTAATAACCTTGACTCTCTCAGGGGACTTGCTGGGCCCCTTTGCAAGAATTAATTCTCCCTGTAACCTCCCAATCATGTGATTATTATCTCAATTTTATAGAATAAGGAAACTCAGACTTACAGAAAGGTCAAGTTTCTTGCCAAAATTTTTGCCCTTGGAAGTTTGGGGGTTGGGATTTGAACCTGAATCTGAGTGTAGAGTTGTAGCTCTTTACCGCTGGCTGTACAGTCTCCTAATGTGCACCTGATAGAGGTTGACGTTTCAGAGCCCGGTTTGATCTTGGTTTTCAGTTGATCTGGCAGTAACAGCTAGCAAGGCTGTCCAACCCGCGGCCCGCGGGTCACGTGCTGCCCAGAGTGGCTATGAATGCAGCCCTACACAAAATTGTAAATTTACTTAAAACCTTTCTTTTGCTCATCGGCTTTCGTTAGTGTCTGTGTATTTAACGTGTGGCCCCGGACAACTCTTCTTCCAGTGTGGCCCAGGGATGCCAAAAGGTTGGGCACCTCTGATAGGGTTTGTTTGTTTGGTATTTCTTAATTGTTTATCAAGAGAAATGATTCCTTAGCTCATATATTCATGTTTCATTGTTCAGGAACACAGGTTAGTGCCATGGAATTCAACCCAAAGAAATTCTTTCCGTTCTAAGGTCACTTTGCCCTCCGAAACATAGCGGCCTTCCTCATCTCCTCAGAACCTTTCCTGGATTCCAAATTTCTGTAGAAATCTGCATGCGCCTGCTTTCTTGGTTCATGCATAGCACACTTGCAGGAAGCTGCCACCCCCAGGGATACAGGATGGCTCCAATGACTCGAAATTGGAGGTGCCTGGCCAGAAGACCGCACATCGGAGGTTCTGTCAGAGCACTGGTAGACGTGACAGTTGTATTCTCCTCGACACCAGCATCCTTCCTGATGGAGAAATGGATGACTGGGCTTATTTATTTATTTTTTTGCTGAACTTTGTGCCTAGCTTTTACTCGGTGTTACATTTGTGCAAGTTATCTATGTGGTGTGTGGCAGTTTATTCATTCTCAATGCTACACAGCATGACTGCACTATAATATGTTCCACTGGAGATGGACATTTGGGTTGTAGAACATCTTTTTTTAAAACTTTATTTGTTTACTTTTAGAGAGAGGAGGAAGAGAGGGAGAGAGACATCAATGTGTGAGATACATTGATCAGTTGCCTCTCACACGCCCCAATCTGGGGACTGGCCTGCAACCCAGGCATGTGCCTTGAAAGGGAATGGAACCGGCAACCTTTTGGTTCGCAGGCCGGTGCTCAGTCCACTGAGCCACACCAGTCAGGGCTGGGCTGTAGAACATCTTTGTACATCTTTTGGTGTGCCTATTTGGTGTATTTTTACAGGTTTTGTTCCTTGAAGTAGAATTGCCAGGTCACCTGGTGGTGCACATAGGTTTGGCTTTGGCAGATACCGTCCAGTACAGTAGTCGTCCGGATTCACACCCCCACAGGGGCGCGCAAGAGATTCACTCAGCACCGTGTCAGCACTCAGCACTGGCGGCCTTTTTCATTTTAGCCACTCCGCTGGGAGTGTAGTGGCATGTCCTTTGTCGTGGTGCTGGTGGTGTTGTGCGAGTGAAAGCCGGCCTCCAAGGCAAACAGGTAGTTGGGTTAGTTACAGGACGATGTATATCTGTGTAGTGTGCCCATGTGGCTATTCAGGGAAGTCTGTCCAAGTGTATTTTCTTAGGTATTATAATTACAAAGGTAGAATCTGCTCATAGTAAAAATGTAAAACATTACAGAAATGTGATCCAGAAGTGAAGGTCCCTGTTAACTGTGGATGTGTATTTTTCCAGTCCCCTCCCTATTCAAACACATACACACCCATTCATTCATTATTCTGTAGCTTGCTTTCCTCATTCAGCAATATTTCATGAATGTTTTTAGGTCAGTTTTTTGTTTTTTGGGTGTTTTTTGTGAAGCTATATCTCTTATAAATGACTGCTTATTTTATTGTATTGAGATAACATGGTTTATTTTGTCCCCTCTGCTAAGGTGAGCATTTGTGTTGTAGGAGGACATTTATTGACCTCAGAAGTAGTTCATAACATAATTGTTGATAAAGTATGTTGCAAAGCTGTAAGTATGGTATTATCCTATCCTTGCTGAAGGACAAAACCACTACACAACTGTTAATATGTAACCATAAACTAAGGTATCATGCATCCTGATACATTTTTATCGGTCTTTTTTTTTTTTTTTCTTAAAGATTTTATTCATTTACTTTTAGAGAGAGGGGAAGGGAGGGAGGAAGAGAAACATCAACTTGCAAGCGATACATTGATCATTTGCCTCTCCCACACCCCAACTGGGAACCTGGCCAGCAACTGAGGCATGTGCCCTGACAGGGAAACAAAGCAGTGACCTTTCGGTTCACAGACCAGTGTGCAATCTGCTGAGCTACACCAGCCAGAGCCATTTTTATTGGTCTCATCTCCATTTTCTTTACTGATTATTATTGCTTTTGTATGAGAACAACAAAACACGTGTCCCTTATTTGTATCTGTAGTCACCGGAGCTAGTCACGTTCGGAGTCTTGCCCTGATGCGCCTCTGAGGGAACCACTGGCATGGGTTTGAATAGGTGGGGCTTCCCCTTGCTGGCCCCTGGGATAGGAACTGAGGGTGGGGCGATGACCTGCCCTCGAACCTTCTTGTTGGTTACTCACGGGCCACCTCTTCCAGGCTAGTTTCGCTCCAATGGAGGACAGGCTCAATCAGGCACACCTCGAGGTCCAGCAGCTGAAGGCGTCGGTTAAGAATTACGAAGGGTTGATTGACAACTATAAGAGTCAGGTAGGCTCTCGGGTGCCCCTGCCCGGCCAGGGCAGCATCTCTCAGCAGGCCGGGGGGTTAATAACCACGAGGCCTCTCTGGGGAAGGGTTGGGTGTGGAAGGTGTTTTTCCCCCAACCACTGGCTCTGCCCAAGACAGCCGGATGCTTTGTGGGCCCCCAGGTGATGAAGACCAGATTGGAGGCTGATGAAGTGGCTGCCCAGCTGGAACGCTGTGACAAGGAAAACAAGATGCTTAAAGATGAGATGAACAAAGAGATTGAAGCGGTACGGCTCCCCTTCCTTGCTTCCCAATCTCTGGCCATCAGTCTGTCCCTCTCGTTAGCCTTTGACCCCCCCGGTGTGGACAGCAGAGATGAACACATTTTCTTGTTTCTGGGCTGCCCCACTCTACTACCTGTGTGCTCCCTCTTTTCTCACCTCCTCTTGCTTGTGCTTTTTTATCTGCTTTTCCCTCCTGGCTTGTTTGTTTTTTTCTTCTTTCTCCAATTTCCTTAAAAAACAAAACAAAACAAAACCTCTCCTTCTTGGAGTGCCCAAGTGGCACTCAGGTAACCCCAAATCCACAGGTAACCCCAAAGCTATTTCATTCCATTTGGTGTCTTTTATGTTGTACCATCTGAAAAATGTGCCTCCCAGCCAGCTCCCCAAAGAGCCTTATTCCCCAGAGGTGGCGTGGCTGTCTGGAAGCAAAGGGAATCATCCTAATAGTGACTGCAGAGGGGCTGATTCCAGGCTCAGCCACTGACTTGCTGCCTAACCTTGGGCAAGTCACTGCCCCTCTCTAGTCCCCAGTCTCCTTGTTAATACAAGAGGGGGACAAAGACTAGATTTTATTTTTAAAAAATTTTATTTATTTTTAGAGAGAGGGGAAGGGAGGGAGAAAGAGGGAGAGAAACATCGACGTGTGAGAGATACATTGACTGGCTGCCTCTCACACACCCCAGCTGGGGGTCCAGTCCACTACCCAGGCATGTGCCTTGACTGGGAATTGAACTAGCGACTTTTTGGTTTGCAGGTTGGCACTCAGTCCACTGAGCCACACCAGCCAGGGCAAGACCCGCTAGATCTTACCTTTCCTTTCTAGGGCATTGGGAGTTAGAGTAGACTTAAACTTTCTGCTCTAGCTGAGTGACTTTGGGTAAATGAGCCTTTGAGCTTCAGTGTCCTCAGGTGGGGAGAAGAGCACCTACTTTTCAGGTTGTTGTATGAATTAAATGAGTAATTCAGAGAGCCCTTAGCACAGTGCCTGGGGCCTGGGGGTGCTGTTTGATGAACAGCTGGGCACCCTCAGTGGCCCGCAGGAGGGCAAGCTGCCCTTTTCCCTGTGGATCTTGCAAGGATCCTCTTCTGGGGACGGAGGGCAGCCCTGCCCTAACTCCCAAGCGCTCTGCCTCGCCCCATCAGCAGCTGGGCGCTTCCCAACAGTGGGCTTTTCCCCCCGACTCCAGGCACGGAGGCAGTTCCAGTCCCAGCTGGCTGACCTGCAGCAGCTGCCTGACATCCTCAAGATCACCGAGGCTAAGCTGGCAGAGTGCCAAGACCAGCTGCAGGGCTACGAGAGGAAGAACATCGACCTCACAGCCATCATATCAGATCTGCGCAGCCGGGTAAGGGACTGGCAGAAAGGGTCCCATGAACTGGTCCGAGGAGGGGCCCGCTTACCAAGATGAGCTGCACGCCCCACCCCGAGGGCGGACTACTTCCTTTTTCTTGGCTGCCGGTTCTGAAAGGAGTGAGCTATCATCAGTGCTGTGAAATAAAAGTCTGGTGTGCCAAATGCCTCTTGTTTGCACCGAGTGATTCTAGTTATAGGTGCCGTCACTCCTCCGAGCCGCTGGGCCCACCCGCTGTTTCCCTGCCCCGCAGGCTCCTTGTCTCCCTCGGCCTCCGCTTCCTGCTCCCCCGCGGCCCTCAGCCATGCACCCCTAGGCACCAGGCCATGGGTGGTTCTTCCCACTGTTCTCCTGCTTTAGCGGCCTTCCCTACGCAACAGCAGATCCGTTGCCTGAGATTCTATCCTGAGAGAGGGCTCCCTCTCTCCGGGAAGCAGCCTGCCTCTGGGTTACTGGAGGCACAGCGCCTGCGGTGCCTAAGGCAGCGTCTGCCTGTCCTGTGCCGGGTGACCTCGGGCAAGGTCCTTTCCCTCTCTTGACCTGCCCTCTTGTACGACTAATAAAAGTAGCTGCCATTTTTGAGTGGTCCCCCTGTGCTCCACCATTCTCTCATTTAATTCTCCCAGGAACTTTGTGAGGTGTGCTATTTTCCCCATTTTACAGAAGAAAGCAGCCCCGGGCACAGAGGGGAGAAGTTATTTCCTGAAGTCATGGAGCTGATACTTAGTCAACGAGGACTGGCGCCCAGCCAGCTGCCTGGTCCCCAGGCCCATGTCCTCAGCACTCTTCAGCGCCCTCCCCTTTCTGGGACCTGAGCACTCTCGGGGCCTCTCGAGCCCAGATACCAGGCTTCTTGTAAAGCATCCCTCGAGATAACTACTCAAACTTGCCAGCTTGAAAGATGCGATAGTTTTCCTGTTGCCTTGCCTGCCCCCGTCCCTGGTTAAGGAAAGACTGAAATCACCAGTACCAACAAAACTGGTAAAAAGCTCCCCGGTGTGTCGTGTGGGCCCGCCATCGGCTTCTGCCTCCTCCTGTCTGCCCCGGATCCCATTGAGTGGCCTCTCCTCATCAAGAAAGCGTCGTCTCAGTTCTTCAGGATCAAACTTGGCTTCTCTCGGGGCAGGAAAGCCTACAGCCGTGGGAGTTGGGCCTAACCTGTCCCTGCTGTGTCTCCTCCAGGTTGTGTGTTAAAGCTTGGACGGCTGCTGGGGGCCGCGTGCCTCTCTCCCGGGTGTGGACTACAGGTCAACAGAGGAGGGCGGTCCATACTGGGAAGTTCTTTCGTAAACCAGTCTGTGTTCCTGTCATTTTAGATCGAACATCAGGGGGACAAGCTGGAGATGGCGAGAGAGAAACACCAGGCTTCCCAGAAGGAAAATAAACAGCTGAGTCTGAAGGTGGATGAACTGGAGAGGTTAGAGGCACCTGGTCCCATCTCTGTCCTCTTCCTAGGACCTGAGACTTTCGGCCACTTAGCTGCTTTGGGCTTAGTGTGCGGAAGTGTTTGAGGGACTCGAGGCCCTGGAAGGTACTAGGCAGACCTCAGAGGAAAAGCCGCTTCCAGGGCAGTGGTAAGCACAGTGGGAGAGAGGAAGCAGTCTCCGGCGGGCTGGGGGGAGGCTCCAAAGCAGTGTGATCAACATCAGCCCACCCACAGGCGCCACCTATGGGGCAGGCTGTGTCCAGGCAAACCAGCTGGGCCTGTACGCGGCAGTGGGGGCGTTTCCATCTGCTCTGTGCTCCTGATCATCCCTCCCAAGACCACTCTGTTACTTACGGACTGTTGGAGGCAGGCAGAGGTGAAGACTACACCTGCAGGAGTCAGAAGCCCTGGCCTTGGGTCCCATTATTTAATCCTTTTGAACCTCTGATCATTAATCTTGAGAAAGGGATCCAGGTAGGGAAAAGAGTGTAACTCATGGGGTTATCGTGAGTCTTCAGTGAGATAATCTTCAAAGGGCTCAGCACATTACTTGGCATACAAATGTGCAGTATAGTTAGTGCGTAGTTGGTATTATCCCAATTTAAATACGAGGAAACTGAGCTTGGGGAGAGGTTAAGTAACTCGCACACTTGGCAGCTGGCAAAGCTGCCACTTAGCCCCCCACCCCCAACCGTCTTCCTCCAGAGCTTCTAGCATCTGTAAAACCAGGGCTAGGGCCTTGGTTGGAGAGGCGGAAGGCTGAGGTCCTAGGAGGCTGCGGCTACTCATGCAGCGCCCAGGTAGCTTGAAGGAGGTGGTTTCCTGGGCTCCACCTCTGCTCTGTTCTGCTCCCTCCCACCTGCAGCAGGATTCAGCAGGTCTTGCAGGTCTCCTTAAATTGGAATGTTCCAGAAGTGCAGTGGGGACTGCGCGTGCACATTGGGATGGTCACTGGTGCTCTGTGGCAGATCACACAAGATACTGAGGGGCCAAGCTGAAGCCCCTTTGCTGAAAGAGGCAGCAGTGAACAGAAGAAGTTGAGGGCGTGAGCTTTGGCGACAGGCCTGTCAGCTGTGCTGACACTGGACTTCGCGTCTCTGAGGCCGAATTTCTTCATCTGTAAAGGGGGGATGATAAGGGAACCTGCCTTTCCGAGCTGCCCGTTGCCGTATTACATGGGAGGACGTGCGGTCAGTCTGTGCTTGCTTTTCCCACTCTTCATACAGTTCGCCAACCAGCTGCTCCAGTTGCAATTCCTTGCCGCCTGGCTGATCAGCAGATTCCTTTGGTTTATTCCTGTGGCTCCTTGGAGATCCCCTGCGTGAGGAGAGCCCTGGTCCAGGGGCGCCTGGCAGCGCCCTGACGGGATGGACCAGGACAGGTATGGGGATGAGCAGGACTGACTGACTGCTTTCACCTAGGAAACTGGAGGCGACCAGTGCCCAGAATATCGAGTTCCTACAGGTGATTGCCAAGAGAGAGGAGGCAATCCACCAGTCCCAGCTGCGGCTGGAGGAGAAAACACGAGAATGTGGGGCCCTGGCAAGGCAGTTGGAGAGCGCCATTGAAGACACTAGGAGGCAGGTCAGTCTCGACTCCATTACTCACTGGCTCTGTGACCTTGGGCAAATCACCTAATCTCTCTGAGCCTAGTTTCCCATCTGGGCACAGAGTAGTAGTACCTGCCTCATGAATTCACCATAAGGAGTGAATGAGCAGAAGGCTTGGCTCTTAATTCATGATCGCTCACTTAATCGTTGCGTGCATGGGACTCAGACGGGTTAGCCATTTTTTAGGTGATGACTCATGGGGTGTTGGGAAAGGGCAGGTAAAGGCGGTTGCTGGGGTTGTCCCCACAGTTAGCACGCACTCTGAGGCTCCAAAGAACTCCCCAGGGTGGTGTGCAGGCGCGGTCCTTGGGACCTGACAATGGGAACGGCCCAGCCTTCCTGCCAGGTGTTCACCCTGTCAGGTAGGCACCTCCACCTCTGTTCCTTCTGGGTAGGTGGAGCAAACTAAGGAGCACGCGGCTTCCAAGGAACGAGCAGCCCAGAACAAAATCCTGGACCTTGAGACCCAGCTGAGCAGGACCAAAACTGAACTCAGCCAGCTGCGGCGGAGCCGTGACGATGTGAGTTGGGCTCGAGGGCAGGGGCAGAGAGAAGGGAATGGATGGAGATGTTGGCTTCCTGGGGTCTGCAGGGCGAGGTGTTTTGTTGTTCTATGAACATGACACGGTTTAATTTTCATCTAATCATTTTCTCATCCCTGAAGATATCCCAGGCAGCTCCTGTGTGTTTTTTGTTTTTCTTTTTTAAAGATGTATTTATTTATCTTTAGAGAGGGGAAGGGAGGAAGAGAAGGCAGCATCAATGGGAGGTTGCCTCTCACACGCCCCCTACTGGGGAGCTGGCTCTCAATCCAAGCATGTTCCCAGAATGGGAATCAAATTGGCAACCCTTTGGTTTGCAGGCCAGCACTCAATCCACTGAGCCACACCAGCCCGGCCCCCCCCACTTTTGTTTTTAATGGCTTTGTTAAGATATCATTTACATACCATGAAATTCACTCATTTAAATTGTATAATTGAGTGGTTTTAGTATATTCAGAGAGTTGTGCAATCATCACCTGGATCTAAGTTTAGGATATTTTCAGAAAGAGACCCTATACCCATTTGTAGTCATTCCCCATTCCCCTCCCTGTCAGGCCCTGCCAACCACTAATAAAATCTCTGTCACTATGGCCTTCTCTATTCTGGACATTTCACGCACTTGACCCATGCTCTGTCTCTCTCCTCGTAGGCTGACCGCCGCTACCAGAGTCGGCTGCAAGACCTGAAAGATCGCCTGGAGCAGTCGGAGAGCACCAACCGCAGCATGCAGAACTATGTCCAGTTCCTTAAGTCGTCCTATGCCAATGTGTTCGGGGATAGCCCTTACACTACCTACCTGACCAGCTCTCCCATCCGCTCCAGGTCTCCTCCTGCCTGAGGCTGCCCGTCTTGGGCCAGGCGCCGGGTTGATGCCATGGGCACTGATGAGTTGCCAAGCCATACCTGGAAAACCTGTTGGTTTTCCTGTCTCTTCCAGTGATGAAGTATGTTCAGGACCTTGTCCTTAGCTCCTGGCTCCATGGAAGTCCCTAAAGCAGCAGAGGATGAAGAAGCAGGAACCACTTAGTCTCTCCTCTCTGCCAGAGTTGCCTGATGGAAGTTTTCAATTACCTTGCCAGGCCTTACTCGTAAATCCGCTGCTATGAGGGAACCAGATTTTAACTCACCATAACTTTGCTCACTCCTTTCCAGAATGTTTGGACTGGACTTTTTCCTCCAGTCCCATTATAGCCCTCTTTCTAGGAATCTCTTTCCTAAGTGTTCTTGGACCTGAACCAGCAGGAGCTGTGGAGGTCCTGGCCACCCACCCTGGGCTGTGAGCATGTTCACTTCCTCTTTTCCTTATTTATCGGGTGTGGCGTTTCCCCTAAGCCCAGGTGAAACCTCTCTTACCCGAGTCTCCTTGAGGCCACTTGCTCCCATGCACTTCGCAGTAGACACTCAAAGTCTCATGTCCACTTGGCCTTTTAAAAGTGTAATCCCAAGATCGTTGATTTTTGTTTCTATTTACCAGGTTTGTATCTGAGGAATGCACTTATATCTTTGAAATATTTGTGTTGTTTTACAAAAAGTTTTTATAGTCAATGTTGAAGACTCCATGGATGATTTTCTCTACCCACTCCCAACCCCCTTCTAAAAATGATGAAGTAAAATGCTGCAAGAGAGCCAGTAAATATTTTTATAAAGTACTTGGTGCATGGACCGTGAAGCTTTTCATTTTATTTTGGCCCAGACAGTTTCTTCTCTGTGGGCTTTCCAAGAGATGACTGGATGCATTGCTCATTATTGGGGGCAGATCACTTTAGCTGTTAGGAAGAAGATGAGATGTGTATATATTAGTGTTTTTAAAATGTTAATTTGTTTCTGAATGTGTTCACATTTTCCCTTTATTTAAAAGAAAGAACAAGAAGAAAATTTTTTTCCATTGGCTGTCAGATGAGCGTTAGCTGAAGGATGTTCCTTTGTAGTTCTTATCTAAGCCAGGCATTCTGTTGCACCACTGTTGATATCATCTGTGATGTCATGAGGGTGACAGCCATCAACATTGCAGCCCACACATTGGGCTGTCCCCAGAATCTCAAACCAGGGCTGTATCTGTCAGGCAATGTTGACAATTTCATCAAAAGTGCTCTTTTCCACTGTGCTCAATGTTTTTTTGTGGCTCTTTGAGGGCTTTGATGATCAGGGCAGAGGCAGGAGGCACCTCCTCAACCTGGGCCTGTCTGTTCTGGTCAGTTTCACTGTAATCCTCGGGCCCTTCTTCTAATCACTGGTGGCTTTGGCGATGTCGGTCCCGGAGGACTGTTGTTGGGGGGCAAGGCAAATGTAGCACCAACTTCTCCACCGGTGCATCTCAGGAAGACGATTTTGATCTCCTTGAGAATGAACTTCAGCCGCATGGCGGAGGCGGCTGGTGTTGGGTGCACCTGGATTTAGGACGACCGAAGAAAGTTGCACCAAAGCCTCCTCCAAGAAAACTGAAAGCAACAATTCCTTTACAGAGATCAAATTTGGAACTGGGCTGAACCCTAACCTTTTCATTCTAGCTGGTATTGGCCTTGTGGGTGATCCAGTCTTGAACTCTCTCAGCCACTCTAACCCAAGTCCAAAATTCCAGAGGATTCCCCTATGTCCTCAAGGGCAGTGGGGCCTACCCAGGCATCTGGATTTCATGACCACTCAATTTTGGTGTCAACTGTGATTTCTAGCTGTTAGTTTGGCCGAGAAGTTCTGGGGGAAAAAAAACAAACCAACCTCAAGCTACCACTTCCCCACAACCACGCCTGTTTTCATACCCTTAACATAAATGGACCTGAACGCAACAATATAAAAATTTTCCCTAGAAAGGACAGTTGGCAAACTTACACCAATGTCTATACCGATTTATATAACTCATTCTGATTTTCATCAAACTAATGAAGACCTCAATGCAGGCCACTGGTATGTATAATGCTGGTGTGGGAAACTCCTCTCTCGGAGTCCATTGCTGGGACTCTCCCAACAACATTGTTTTATTTTGTCCAGTTTATTAAAAAAGAAAACCTCAAAATAATGAGAAATGTTTATATTGCTTCAAACTCCAGAGACAAGCCTTTCTACCTGAAACCGATCCTATAAAACAGGCAAAAGAAGAGTCAAGCCTTGGCTGGGTAGCTCGGTTAGCACGTTGTCCCCGTACACCAGGGTTGTGGGTTTAATTGCAGGTCAGGGCGCACTCAAGAATCAACAAATCGACGTGATTTTAAAATCAATAAATTTTTTCTTTTTAATTTGAAAAAGTCCAAGAGTCCTCATTAAAGCTTGCGCTGGGTGATGGTGAACCGCATTTGATTTTTTTAAGTTCTTGAGCTATAATTCACCATAAAATGAACCTTTTTAAAGTGTAGAAATTTAGTGTTTTTTTATGTATTCACAAAGTTGTGCTAATTTTACATTTTCATCACCCTAAAAAGAAACTCTTACTCTTTAGTATTCACTTTTCATTGCCCTCACCCCAGCCCCTGGCAACCACTAACAAAGTCTAAATGTCTCCATGAATTTACCACTCTGGACATTTCACAGAACTGGAATTACACAATATAGAATCTTTTGTGACTGGCGTCTTTCACTTAGCATCACGTTTCAAGGTTCATCCCTGTTGTAGCGCGTATTTCTACTTCGTTTTCACGAAACACCGTATTTTATTTTCCCATCAGTTGATGTATATCTGGGTTTCCACTATTTGGCTATTCTGAGTATGCTGCTAGGAACATTCAACAAGTTTTTGTGTGGACGCATATTTAATCTCTCGGGTGTACGCGTATACCTAGAAGAATCGCTGGGTCAAACGGTAACAAACATTTTTGAAGAACTGCAAGACTGTCTTCCAGAGCAGTTGCCCCACTTTAGAGGCCCACCAGCACTGTGGGGGTGGTTCCAATTTCTTCTTCACACCCACATCAACACCTACATATCCCACTTTCGGCAACAAGGAGGACCCAGGCTTCAGAAGAGCCCGCGACTGAAGCGCTGCAGAACCCAAAGCGCGCATCTAAACCGTGTGCGCAGGCGCGCTTTCGGTCAGCTCGGCACCGGAAGTGAGGCGAGCAGCCATCTGAGGCTGCGTAGCACTGAGCAACTGAGTGCGCGCACCGGAAGCGGAAGCGAGCTCTTGTTTGTGGGAGGCTGATTGGAGGACTTGTTTTTTCATAAGCGGCTTCTCTGCAAAGCTGCAGCAGCTACGGCCATGCCGTCTGAGGGTCGCTGCTGGGAGACCTTGCAGGCGCTGCGCAGTTCCGACAAAGGTCGCCTCTGCTACCACCGTGACTGGCTACTTCGGGGCGAGGTGAGCAATGGATCCTTACGGCCGCTGCGCCGGGAACCTCTACGTCCTTTCTAACTGTCCACATTTGTTTTTCAATTCTTGTATGTGCATCACCCTGTCCTCGGGTTCCTGCCACCTCCAGACTCTTCTAGCCATTTGGGAACTTCCCCTTTCTTCGGAGCTCTTCTTTCTGAGGGCTTCATTTTTAGCACCAGAATAGGCGCCTCCGCTTTGTTGCCAAAGCAGCCCAGGCCCCTCCGGGTCAGTTAATTTACTGTGCAGGAGAATGTCCTAGGAAATCTAAATTTAGCAGTGAACAAATGATATGACCTGTTGTTTCAAGTGAGAAAAGCAAATTTTTAGAGAACATTCGTTGGACCTGTAAAGTTTAATGGGGGCGTGATCACTGTATTTGCAAAACCCTGTGCTAGATCTCTGGGTTGGGGGGCATGTAGAAACAGGGCATAGCTCCTGTTCCCAAGTTGCTGGTAATCTAGACACTGTGCTGACTCCTCAGACGTTTATGTAAAACAATTCTCAGGCATTTTCCTGTCTTTTATATCTTTGACAGTTTTAAAGAATACATACCTTACATTTTATAGGACGAGTCCCAGCATGGCTTTCTCTGGTGTGTATTCTGGTTATGCATTCTTTTTTCTTTTTTTTTTTTTAAGATTCTATTTATTTATTTATTTTTGAGAGAGGAAAGAAAAGACAGAGGGAGAGAAACATCAGTGTGTGGTTGCCTCTCATGCACCCCTTCCTGGGGACCCAGCCCAAAACCTAGGCATGTGCCCTGACTGGGAATCAAACCAGCAACCCTTTGGTTCACAGTCCAGCACTCAGTCCACTGAACCACAGCAGCCAGGGCAGGCTATGCATTCTTAACAGGAGTACCGCGGAAATAATGCTGTGTTCTCAGTAAGACACATCAGAAAGCACACAGATGCTTCAGCCCAACCCAGTACCACTAGTGATGCTAACCTTGATCACCTGGTCATATTGGTGGTATCTGCTAGATACCTCCACTTAGAATTCATCATTTTCCCTTTATAACTAATTAGTATTGTGTGGAGAGGTATTCCAAGATTACACCAATGGGCCTCCTTTTCCTCAGCAGAACTCCACCCTTAGCATTCATTAATGATTTCTGCCTGAAACATTTGCCTCTGTGATGTAGTCAAATGCTGTTTTCTTGGTGTCCACCATTCCTTCCACCTTTGTTAGTTGGCATTCTGCCATAAGGGAGGGCTTTCTCTTCTTCCTTGTTTAATTAATTACATCAATATGGATTCATAGGTTCTTATTCATTGAGTTGTAATTCACTACTTTAAATCTTATGATGTGTATTTTCATTTTGTGGGAAGTGTATCTTCAGGATAAGCTTCTAGAAGTGAGATTGCTGGGTCAAAAAATGAACATAACCCTGGCTGGTGTAGCTTAGTGGATTGAGTGCCGGACTGTGGACCAAAGGGTCGCTGGTTCAATTCCCAGTTTAAGGCATGTGCCTAGGTTGTGGACCAGGTCCCCAGTAGGAGGTAAGTGAGTGGCAACTGCACATTGATGTTTCTCTCCTTCTCTTTCTTGTTCCCTTCCCCTCTCTAAAAATAAATAAATAAAATCTTTAAAAAAAAAGTAAATATAATTGTAGTTTTGTCATATATTGCCAAATTTCCCCCAGAAGTGGGTGTTTCAGTTTGCCTTCCAATCAGCAATGAATGATTGTGCCCATTTGCCCACAGCATTGTCAACAGAATATATTATTATACTTTTAAATTTTGCTTATCTAATAGGTAAGCATAAGGTCTCGGTGTAATTAATTAATTTATTTATCCTCACCTAAGGACATACTTACTGATTTTTAGAAAGAAGGAAAGAGAAGAGAGAGAGGGAGAGAAACATCCCTGCAAGAGAAACATCAGTTACTTGCCTCTTGTACCTGCCCAGACCAGGAATGAACTCACAACCCAGGCATGTGCCCTGACTGGGAATCGAATCCACAGCCTTTCAGTTTACGGGATGATGCTCCAACCAACTGAGCCACACTGGCCAGGGCTCGGTCAGGATTTCTTAACCACAGCACTGTTGGCATTTGGGGCTGGGCTGCTATTGCTGTCTTATGTGTTGTAGGAGGATTAGCAGCGTCCCTGGCCCCTACCCACTGGATGCCAGGAGCACCTTCCCAGTTGTCTCCAGATATTGCCAGATGTCCCCTGGGGGGTAAAATTGGCCCTGTTTGAGGACCAGTGATCTAGATAAAATAGCTTGCAATTTCTGAGTAATTATGTGCCAGGTACTGTTCTAAGTCTATTATTATTCATTTAAATCCCACTTCCAAATCTTTTGAGGCAGATCCTTTATCCCATTAATTTTTTTTTAAGAGAGAGAAGAAGAACGGGGAGAGAGAGAAAAGATATGTATCTGTTTGTTGGTCCATTTATCTATGCATTCCTTGTTTGCTTCTTGTATATGCCCTAACTGGGAATCGAACCCACAACCTGGGCATATCTGGATGATGCTCTAACCAACTGAGCTACTGAACCAGGGCCTTCTTTATTTCATTTCAGAGTGATGGAGCTGAGGCACAAAGAGGTTAGGTAACTTGCCCGAGGTTACACGGGTAAGGGGAATGCAGAGATGGAATTCAAACCAAGAAAGGCTGATTGTACACTTAGTGTTCATAATCACTAATGTACTGTTTTCTCCATATTTCCTGGTAATATTTTCCTGACACAGAGTAAATTCCCAGTCAAAATTTGCTGTGTACTTTAATACAGTTTAATGGTATAAGCTTTTCTGGTACCATTACTGTACACTAAACATATAGCGATAATAAAATAGTTAACTGGTACAACTGAATGAGTTGTCCACACACACATTGGAGAGTGTCTAAGACTTATAGACTTTCTATTATAAATTTCATTTTTATTTCATTGGCTTTTACATTAGTAACTACTTTTCAGTGCCTGTTATTTTCATTTGAAAACTTATAACATGTTCCTTTAAAAATTTAATATACAAAATTCAAACAAGAAGAAATATTTCACTTATGACCCCAGTGTAATTTCTGGTTATTTCTTTCATTTCTTTTTTTTTTAGTGTAGCAGCATTTTTAAAAGTGTAATTGTAGTTGTACTGTATTTACTCTCTTGTTTTTTCACTTAAAATTGAACCTTGAGATGTCATTACATAGGATTCACAGTCAGCATTTTTAACGACTGGTATTCCACTGTGTGCGCTGTACTACGCTTCACAGTCCATCCTGTGGTCTTTTCTGTCCCAGCTTTTTAGGTTTCTTTTGCGTATATTTCAATGACCATCTCTGTGCTTTGGTCCTTTTTCTATAGGTAGAGTGATTTAGTCTGATCCTCTAAAAGGATAGTAGTCAGGATAATTAACAGGAAACTACTTTCTCTTCATTGCTGATTGTTACACAGTTATTTTCGGTCTTTGGTATGTATGTTATGTGTATATGTGCGTATGCCTTCTTAGATTTTCAGTAAGACATGTAGAGGGTTCTCTTTGATTGCTTAGATAAGTTGATGTGCAAGAGGAGTTTCTCCTCTTTTTCTCTCTAGGATGTTTTGGAAGAATATACGTCTATTCCCAAACTATCTTCTTATGCTGGATGGGTGGTAGATCATGTCCTACCCCATACACAAGAGAATCTGTCTTCTGAGACCTCGGCATCTTCCACGTCTACTTCAGGCCTAGACCAGCTGGCATTTGCTCCCAAATCTCCCGTCAGAAGCCTTGCCTTCTCACCAACCTCCTCGGGAACGCCAGCAACACCAAATGGAAGCAAGGTAAGGTATTTATTTTTATTTTTAAAAAGTTTTTTTTTATTTTATTTTTTTTAGAGAGAGGGAAAGGGAGGGAGAAAGAGAGGAAGAGAAACATTGATGTGCGAGAGAAGTATTGATTGCTTGCCTCTTGAACGCCCCCAACCGAAAACCTGGCCCCATAACCCAGGCATGTGCCCTGACCAGGAATCGAACCAGGGACCTTTTCATTTGTGGGAACAACACTCAACCCATTGAGCTACACCAGCCAGGGCCAAGGTAAAGTTTTTTTCATCAGCTGAGGACAAAAGTCGAGGGTGGTTGCAAAGCTGAATTATGTAACATTGTCATATAGCAACGACCTTACCCTGGAGAAAATGATTGCTTCTTGTAGCAACAGTGTTGACCACATCACTCAGTGCTTTCTTTATGGAGACTGAGAAAATTTTTCCTCTAATCTTTTTTTAAAAAATATTTATTTATTTTTAGAGAGGGAAAGGGAGAGAGAGGAAAGAAACATCAGTGTAGTTGCCTCTCATGCACTCCCTTCTGGGGACCTGGCCCACAACCCAGGCATGTGCCCTGACTGGGAATTGAACCGGCGAGCCTTTGGTTTGCAGGCTGGAACTCAGTCCATTGAGCCATACCAGCTAGGGCTGAAAGTTTCCTCTAATCTTAGTACCAAGAACAGTAATGTGATGAGCAATTAGATTGTTTTTCACATGAACCTTGTATCTGTTTAACTGGTAAACTCTCTCTTTTTGTGCTGGCTGCCAGAAGTATAAGTAAAATTTATACCCAATCTTAAAATTTACATACCTTATCACTGGTTCTGTATGAGTTTTTACCCTGTTTTTGCTGTGTTTTGTCCCTGCTTTAGTTTGTTTCTCTCACTTAAAAACAGTGAGTTGTTAGGGATGGTTAGCACTTCCAGAGAAAGCCTTCCTAGAGAGCTCCATTGGAGAAACTCAGAGGTGGACTCTGGCCTAGCCTGGCCCATAGCCTCATTGCCAAAGCAGATACTGGCCACAGGAGGCTAGAGGACTGTGCTAGCTGTCACATGCTTACTTTGGAAGCCCCAAAGGTGAAAGTTTTGGGGATGTGGATTGGGGCTGCTCCACGCAAACCATCCGAGCACAAAGGGACACTTAATCGGAAGAAAGAGGGAAAATTTGCTGGGCAGATCAAAACAAACAAGCAAGCAGAAAAGAAATCGATGTTTGTTGTGCTTTGGGCATTTCTTATTTTTAAGAAAAACAGTTAGAACAAAGTCAGTATCATGAAAAACACACTAGTTCTCACTTCATTTGTTTTTGTTGTTCTTTATAAATAGGGATGTGGTTTTTGTTTAGAAGGGATAACACCGCCTGTACTATGCTAAAAGCTTGATTTCTCCATCTCCTGTCTGTGTAGGGCAAAGATGAGTCCCAGCATACAGAGGAGCCTATGGCACTGCAGTCCTCCAGGGGCACCAAGGTGGAAGGCTGCATCCGAATGTATGAGCAGGTGCACAGGATGAAAGGAATGGTGAGTGACCTGCGCAGCCAGGCCGACCTGCCCGGGGGAGCCACACTTAGACGCGCTTCCTTAGGGTTATGCGTGTCCACTGCACGCTGAGCATCGTGCCCAGCTCACTGCCAGCAGCTCCCCATCGCTTCGTGGAGGTAGGACAGTGGAGCAGCCAGGAGTGAGCCCTCTGAAGTCTAATCTGGTCGCCTGGCCTCGCCCTTCTATTTCACTTGTGACTTCAGCAAAATCACATATGTGTCCCTGGCTTCCATTTACTTCTCCCAAATTTGAAGATGACTTGGGATTGTCAGATAAGGGTATACTGAGAGGATGGGCCTTAACAGCCTCTTGAGAAAAGAATAGCACTTATTTTAATTAATGTATTTGGCCTTTTTTTTTTTAAAAACAATGAATGATTTTGTAAAAGCTTTTAGAAAGTACATGAGTTCATAAAGTGACAGTCTTCTGGCAGCCCTCAGTCACTCACTGAGTCAACAAATAGTTATGGAGCACTTCCACGCCAGATGCCGTTCTAGGTCTGGATAAAACAGTGGACAGAGCAGACACACACCCGTGTCCCCGGAGAGCTTATGTGCTGGTAGGGAGAGACAAAAGTAAGCAAGACACAGAAGTTAAATATAGAAGGCAAGTACCATCTGAGTGAAAGACAGCAAAACTCATTAGAGCGCTCACTTTGGCCCTGAAATAAAAGATGACGGTTGCTTAGATGAGGGCTATAGCAGGGAGGTGAGAGAGAGGGAGAATGAGAAGGAACGAGTGTGTCTGTGTGTCTGTCTCTCTCCGAGGGTTTTCCCAGCCCTGCTCTCCCAGTCGCCGCTCCTGCACGGATGTTCGGTCTTCCAGAAGCATGTAGAGACTTTTCCCGGCTGATAATCTCCCTCGTGTGCTAGGAGAGGTTAACTATTGTTGAGTCTTTTTCTTTTTTTACCTTTCCAACCCTTATTTAAACAGAGTCTCAGAGAAGAGGATGTATATACTTGTGTTAAATTTGCTGCCTTGCACTGGAAGCTTTAAAATAACTTTTGAAATAGAATGAGATAATGTCTTAACAATGTTTTGACACATCTCCACGCCAGTACACATAGCATCTTGTCCTCTCATCTTCCGTAAAGGCTGCAGAGTATTCTCTAGTATGACCTACTGTATTATAGTTATTCTTTTCCCCAGTTAATTTTTGGCGGGGAGGAGTGCCCTGGCCAGGAATCGAACTGGTGGCCCTTTGGTTCTGAGGCCAGTGCTCAATCTACTGAGCCACACCAGCCAGGGCATAAATTGTTTTAAATCTATTGCCATAGTCAGCAGGGCTGTAGCGAGCTTCCTTGCACATCTTTGCACACATTTGCAACTATTTCTTCAGGACAGATTCCTAAAATGGAAATATATATATACATATGCTTCAAATTTTGATAGTTAAAATGTCAAATTGCCCTTAAAAATGATAAAAAGAATTCTCTCAGGAATAACAAATTAAGTGCCTGATGCCCTTAGGCATAAAGGAAAGGGACTTTCCTAAGTGGCAGTGGGGGAGGGGGCAGAATCTAGGCAGAGATAATCACACCAGAAAGGAGTGAGGTAGAAATGTGCACAGCGAGCGTATGGAACTGAAATAAGGGTTTTGGGAGATAATCCTGAAATCCTCATGAGCATACACAGGATGGAAGCTTAGAAGTGCGGGGCTGTTTGATACTCTTACGGTAAATACTTGTCCCTACCCGGGTTATACTGGAGTGCCATAAACCACATGGGGCACGTTGGAAGAGCTTTGCAAAACCGCTGAGTTTAAAGATCACCCCAAAGAAGGCCCTGGCCAGGTAGCTCGGCTGGTTAGAGCATTGTCCTGCTGCACCAAGGTTGCGGGTTTGACCCCTAGCCGAGGCGCACCTGACCACTACGTAGGTGATCCCGTGGCCCTGGGTGTCTCTGACAGAGCCCAGGGCTGACGGCAGGGAAATCCCGCAGAGGTCAGTGAGCGGGCGGTGGGAGCTCCAGGGAGCAGGTGCCGGTTGACCCTTTTCAGGAGGGCCTGAGGCAGTGGCAGGAGGAGCAGGAGAGGAAGGTGCGCGCCCTCTCTGAGATGGCGTCTGAGCAACTGAAGCGGTTTGATGAACGGAAGGAGCTGAAGCACCATAAAGAATTCCAGGACTTGCGGGAGATGATGGAGAAGAGGTGAGCCTCCCTGGATTATGGCTGGAAGTGTCGGGGTGGTCAGCTGGGACTCTTTCTCAGCAGGAAACCCAAAGGGAAAGAGTTGAACAACTTCTGAGTCCTTAAGTATCAGAATGAAATAGCCAGAGAAGCGTACAACCCAGAAAAACGACCAACCTTGGAAACGCGACCAGTGTCTCACAAAGAGAGGGAGGCGTGGAGGAGCGAGAAAACCTCAGCAAGCGCCCCTGACTGGTGCTCCCTGCCCTTTCTCATTCAGCTCCAGAGAAGCCCTGGGGCAGCAAGAGAAGCTAAAAGCTGAGCATCGTCACAGGGCGAAGGTCAGAGCCTGGGAGAAACCTGTGGGTGTGTCACGGGTCTGGCTGTACGCGGCCCAAAGAGCCAGGCCCTGGCGGACGGTCCTGGAGGACCTGGCCCCTTTCATGCCTCGGTGTGACTGACCCTGGGCAGTCCTTTTCCTGCCCTGGGCCCACGTGGGAAAGTATGCAGCCCACATAGGACTTGAGCCTGTGGAAAGAGAAAACCCAAGAGCCCCTCCGAGAGAGGTAACTGGACAGTCCCCTCTGTAGATTCTCAACCTGAAGCTGCGGGAGGCAGAGCAGCAGCGCCTGAAGCAGGTGGAGCAGGAGCGGCTCCGGAGGGAGGAAGGCCAGGGCCGCCTGCGGGGCCTGTATGCGCTGCAGGAGGAGCTGCTGCACCTCAACCAGCAGCTGGACGCTGCGGACCAGCGCGGTGACCCGCTGAAGGTGGACCTGTCGGCCTTCCGGACCCGCGGCAACCAGCTGTGCGGCCTCGTCTCTGGCATGATTCGGGCCACTTCCGAGGTGAAGGGGCGGCAGGGGTCTCTGCCTTCTGTCTTCGGGGCGGGGGGTGTGATCCCCATCCCAAATTGGACTCATACAGATACAGAGTATTGTATCGTAGGTTTAAAAAATGTGTGTGTCTTCTGATTGCAAAATACTTCAGTTCACTCAGTGACATATACTGAACCCCTACTAAGGGCAAAAATTAAAACCTCACAGAAGTGTTGGGGAGCGGGTGATGACAGCAAATCGCTGTTGACTTTGCGAGAACAGGAAAGCAGTAGGCATCAGCGTGTTGATGAATGGTACGACGTTAATGCGACAGTTCCAGTTCTAGAAATGGACTGATGTGTGAGGTGTGGTTCAGCCCCACAGGCTGCCTGGGGCATAACCACAAAGCCCTGCCTCTGTCACCCGGCAGGACAGCTTTCCCACAGCAGAGGACCAAGCGGTGGCCGAGAGAGCGCTGCAAGAAATGCGGGACCTCTGTGCGGACGTCCGGGCCTGTGAAGACAAGAGGAAGCAGGAGGAAAAGGAGGCCCAGCGGAAGCAGCAAGAGTCACAGGTGCAGCAGGGACCAGAGGTCCACAAAGAGTCCCCTGCTCCCAGCCAGGGCCCAGGGGTGAAGCAGAATGAAGGTGAGCCTTGGTGTGGGTAAGGTCCTTTAACTTGGAAGTTTCACCATGCGAAAAGGAACAAGAATGTATTTTAAATATTAAGCTACAGGAGAATTTGCCAGAACTCGTACATAATGTAAAATTGAATACTTTTACTGAATTACATTTCGTTTTGGTTCGTGTGGATTTCATTCCTTCCATTACAACACCTTCCATTGAAGACTTGAAATTCTGTATAATTTAAGTAGACATGTTATTCCAAGTATCGCTGCTAATGAGTATTTGAAGTAAATACATTCGAAATACACGTTGGTTAAAACACAGGAGAAGCAGTCCGGCAGCATGGTTCAGAATGCTGGCGTTGGAGCCGCGTCCGTGGGAATCTAGTTTGCAGCTTCCTAGCAGTGTGACCTTGGCAAACTAGTTAACCTTTCCATGTCTGTTTCTTTTCCTATAAAACAAAGGTAACAATAACGTCTCCTTTATGGGGTTAGTGCAACAGTAAAAGCAGTTACTGTTTGCATACGGTGATTGGAACAGTGCCTGGGTCCCAGTAAGCACTCGGTGGCTGCCAGCTGCTGGGAGAGCGTCTCTCTCGCCCGCAGACCTCCAGGTGAAGGTGCAGGACAGCACGGTGCAGTGGTACCAGCGGCTGCAGGAGGCCTCCCGTCAGTGCGTGCAGGCCTTCGAGGGGCTGGCCAGCAGCAAGGACAGCCAGGTAGGACGGGGGGCCGGCCGGCTTCTCTGGGCGTCAGAGTGCTCTGAATAGACCCGTGTCCCAAACGAGGTGTGTAGCTAGGGCGTCACATTTCCCCCATCCTAATGGCGTCTGCTCAGCACTTCAGAAAGCTCTCTGCCGCCTCACTGTGCTCCTCCGGCAGGTCAAAAAGGTCAGGATGGACCTCCAGAAGGCTGCCACCATCCCAGTGAGCCAGATCTCCACGATTTCAGGTGGGTCGGGGGGGCAGCCTCCAGAGCTGCTCATCTGTAAGGTCCCTAGAGACGGTATGCTGACCGAAGGTGGGCCCTGGGGTCAGGTGTGTGTAAGTTCTACGCGTCCTGTTTACTTTCCTGTGTTTCCTTGTCAGCACATGGAAGGTAATCAGTATGAATTTGTTGACTCATTTTTAAAAATGAGTTGTATATTAGTAGTAATGTATTTACGGTGGCTCCTACCTAAAATTGAAAGTTACTATGGGAAACATCTTGAAGGGAACCTAGGGCATGCCTTGTAGACTTTGCTTTTGTTCTGCGTTAGCTTTTCCAAACTCAAAGCCTGCGCTGTTAATGCTTTACGACTCCTCCTTTTTCTCTCCAGGGACTAAGATTTAGAGAGTAGGAACCAGGCAGGTGAGAGACCCTTCTTCCTCCTTTTCTGTAGAAGCAGGTCTGTTTCTTACGGAGCTCTGGGTGTGGGACCTGCAGGACAGGCCGGCCGCCCGGCAGCGGGGGGGGGGGTGTGCCACTGGGGGCCCGGTTCCCCCGATTAGCTCGCCGCCCTCCCAGCGTAGGAGGGTTGCACCCTCTGCCCCTGCGAGGCTGTACGACAGAACTTACATATCACTTGGCCGCCTGAAATTCTTTCTGGAGCAGGGCAAGGTATAAATAAATAAACACGTATCACTTTCTGGAATTTGAAGTGCCTTTCCTTTGATAGCGGAGGCAGCAGGGCAGAGGGGACTTGACAGCCGCCCCACACCTCCCCCCTGCCCAGACTTCTCTTCAGCCTTTCCCCCTCCGTTGCCCGCAGCCGCGCCCTGCCTGCTCCTCGTCAGGAAATCCAGGCGCTGGGGTGAGAGCCCCCGTGGGTGCCCCTCGCCTGTACCCGCTGTATTTACCTCTCAGTCTCCTGTTTCAAAGATGTGACATCCTCCTGCCCGTCTTCCCCTCCTGCCTCCGCCTTTATCCCCGTCCCCTCCCATCGCCTTCAACACTTGGCCTCCTTGTCAGTGGCCTTTGTCTCCTGTTTTCTGCAAAACCGCTCCCTTATACAGGTCCCTTTCCCTTTAGACACGCATGAGTCTCTTAAATCCTAAAATATGTTTCTTTTGAGTCTGCATCTTCTGAGGATTTTCTGGTCTTCCTCACGTTTCCATTGGTGCTGCTGATTTTGCTGCCTTTTTATTTTTAGATTTTTATTTACTTACTTTTAGACAGAGGGGAAATGAGGGGGAAAGAGGGAGAGAAACATCATTTTGTGGTTGCTACTCACGCAACCTCTACTGGGGACCTGGCCTGCAACCCAGGCATGTGCCCTGACTGGGAATCGAACCGGCGACCTCTACAGCTCGCAGGCTGGCTCTCCGTCCACTGAGCCACATCAGCCAGGGCTGACTTTGCCTTCTTTATGAAACTCCACTCCTTTGGCTTCCATGGGTCATTCGTTTCCGGGCTCTCCTCCTGGCTCCCTCTCCCTCGGGAGGGCACTCCTTGGTCCGCTAGCCCCACCTCAGGTGTCCGTGTTTCCTTAGGGACGCGCCCACTGTCAGCTTTTCTCATTCTCTGCGCCCCCGTGGCTTCAGACATCACGTGGGTGCAGATGACTCCCAGATCTGCCTCCAATTCGTTCATTTCCTCTGAGCTTCAGGTTCTCTAGGACCAGCTCTGTGAGGAACATCTTTGCAAGGATGGCCCCCAGGTACCTCAGGTGTAACGTGTCCGGGTCTAAACTTGTCGTCTTCCTTACCCCTGCTTCCCCTCTCGTTTGCACTAAGTAATCAGTAGCGTCTTTATCTGCTCAGTCGCCTTCATTGGAAACCTGGGAGCCATCCCCCTGATGGCCTCGTCTATTTCATCCTCCACATCTAATTAGGGTGACGTTAGTTACGGTAATGAGGAGCTGGGCAGGGCATTTCTAAGCTGGAGGATCTGCGCTGATTAAAACTTCGATTGCAAGTCATAGAAACAAATTCAGATCTGCTTATGCAAATAAGTACATACATCCATAAATAAATAAACAAATAAAGCCTTTCGTCCCAAAGATGACGAGCTGTTTCACAGAACCCGAGGGAGGAATGAGGCTGGAGCTCAGGAGCAAGAAGCTTAGGGCCTCTTCTCTCTCATGTTGTCTCCCCTGTACACCTCTGTTTGTATTTCACGGACTGTTCCACGCGGCAGGCACAAGGTCCCGCTGCTCACAAGAGTGCGTGGTGCAGGGCCGGGCACTCCAAGGCCCGGACTCTGTCAGTTGGCTGATTGGCTCAACTAGACACTAAGTGCAGCCAGCGTGGGGGTTAGGACCCACAGGCTCTTTCATACACATGCAGCTACCAGAACCCACTTCTGTGTCTCCGAGGATGGAAGAAGGCAGGTCTCAGAGAAGCGGGGAGAATGACAACGAGCGGGGGACATCCTCTACGAGGTTTTCCCCCCCTCAAAATGCAAATGACTCCTTTGGGCACATCAACCACAGTCCATGGGATCTGTAACAATTTGACGCTCATTTCCATTCTGTTTTTCCCTGTTTGATGTGTATTTTCAGAATTAGTTCATTCCCAAATAAGGAATTCCTTTGAAATAGTATGTAGTATGTCCTATGTACTTTTTGCAGTCCCCACAATGTGTATTTGATTGTCACGCGTTTTTCTGCGTCACTGTTTTGTACTGAGGATCGGAGCCTCTGCTGGGCCGCTGCACACCTGGCTTCCGTGTTTGTTACAGTGGTGAAAAATGGATTGCTCTGCAGCTGTATGTTTGAACTTACTCTAACTCTTCTGCACCCAGGCTCGAAGCTGAAGGAGATCTTCGATAGGATCCACAGCCTGCTCTCTGGGAAGCACGTTCAGTGTGGTGGGCGTTCTGTGTCCGTCACCATGAACCCTCAGGGCCTGGACTTTGTCCAGTACAAACTGGCAGAGAAATTTGTGGTGAGAAACCTTGTTGCCAGAGGTATGGGCAGAAGAAGCTGGTGCACAGTGCTTAAGCCGTTCTCAAGTATTAACTCTGTCCCCATCTCTGTGCCCCCAGAAACAAGGAGAGGAGGAAGTGGCCTCTCACCATGAAGCCGCGTTCCCCATCGCGGTTGTGGCATCCGGGATCTGGGAGCTCCACCCGAGAGTGGGGGACCTCATTCTTGCTCATCTGCACAAGAATTGCCCGTACTCAGTCCCTTTCTATCCCGCTTTCAAGGAGGGAATGGCTTTGGAAGACTATCAGAGGTGAGGTCATGGTTCTTTCTACTAGCCCTGGGGTGATTTGTGAAATAGAAATAGAATTTATATACACAGTTTTTATGTACCTTGAATGTCCTATCAGAAAATACAATGTCTTTCACGCAAACTCGGCAGCTTTTGGCACTTGTGGATTTAGGTACCAGTAATCAATATAGCTTAGTGGAAAGGGTAATGGAACTAGAATCAAGGAGTCTTGGAATTTTATCCCTGCTTTGTCATTTTTTTCCCGAAATTTTATTTATTTTTAGAGAGGGGGAAGGGAGAGGGAAAGAGAGGGAGAGAAACATCGATGTGCAAGAGAAACTCGGTCAGTTGCCTGTTGCACACCCGCAGCCAGGGACCCTGCCTGTAACCCAGGCGTGTGCCCCAGCCAGGAATCGAGCTGGGCGGCCTTTTGCTCTGTGCAACTACGCCCAACCCACTGAGCCGCAGCCGTCAGGGCTGCTTTGTCATTTAATAGCTTTGCAAAATGGGGAAATCATTTTACCTCTGTGAGCATCATTTTCCTTATTTGTAAATAACCTACATGGCCTGTGAGTTTACCTCGCAGGGCTTATATGATGCACAGAATTGATGATGGATGTGAGTGCTTTGTAAGCAGAGTATTCTACAAATGTAATAATATGGAATGGCGTGTTAATACCATATTGTTACTTTTAGCCATAAAAACTAATCTCTGATTTGTCACCCTTATTTTGGCCTTGTCACGGTTCATTTTTTCTCCGGTAGGATGCTCGGCTACCAGGTGAAGGATTCCAAGGTGGAGCAGCAGGACAACTTCCTGAAGCGCATGTCCGGGATGATCCGTCTCTATGCTGCCATCATCCAGCTCCGGTGGCCGTACGGACCCCGACAGCAGGTGCGGGGGCCACACTGCCCGTGATGAGAGGCGGCCCTCGGTCGCGTTCTGCCTGCTGCCTGCGGGAAACACCGACTTCTTTCAGAGGGGCCTCCAGTTACGTGCTGCTCCGTGGGGATTCTTTAGAGAAGTTGATGTTGATTATTAGGAGGCTTTTGGATCATCAGGGCCGCTAGTTCAATAACTGACTCAGCTGAGGCATTAATTCAGTTTGTAAAAGGGTCTGGCAGACGGGAGTCTGTTGTAAATCCATCGTTAAGGTTAGAAGATTTTATTAGCAGAGGACTGAGCGAGAAATTGTTGTAGTAGACCTGGGGTGCCTTCGGAGCCATCTAGGTCACACGCACTACTCACAAATGGACAGGTGGAGGCTTAGCAAGCTGCGGTGGTACACGCTTGGCAATGACCGAGCCGCTGCTGGGGTCCAGGGTTTGACCTGCCAGTCTAGTTCTTTTCTCAAGTGATACAGATTAGCAAAGTGGAGAAGTAAATGGACTTGGATACCTGAAGAGAGAGCAGTCTAAGTTGATTCGTTGAATCCAAGAAGTTTTTATTGTGCACCTGTTGTGTCCCAGGTCCTGTGCTAAGGTACCATGATAATAAACGTCTGTCAGGGTCACTGTTGGCCTGCGGAATCCCTGAAGCCGAAGCTGAGAGATGTGCTTTGAGGGGATCCTGTAAAGAATGTGTGGTTTACGGGGTGCTGGAACATTCGAGAGCAGCATTCGTTCGGCGTGTGCTGTTTCTGCCCCGTGGGCTGCTCTGGGTTCCATGGTCTGGGGTTCACGCCCGCTTGGTGGCAGCTGGGCGGCAGCGCTGGGAGTTGAGCTCTCAGATGAAATGAGATCAAGTCATGACCAGGCTTGTCTCCTCCCAGGTTCACCCTCATGGCTTAAACCACGGCTGGCGCTGGTTGGCACAGATACTAAACATGGAGCCCCTGTCAGATGTGACAGCCACCCTCCTCTTTGACTTCTTGGAGGTACGTAATACACTTACTGCACAAGAGAGCCAGTGGTTGAAACAGCCTGGGGCCGCTGTGTGGCATGGGTGGGGAAGCAACATAGAAACAGGGTGATGCTACAAACCAGTGTTTCTCTCTCTCTCCTTCTCTCTAAAATAATTTAAAAACAAAACAAATAATAAAAAAAACCCAGGTGAGAATGTAGCACAAAAAAAAGAAGAAGAAGAAGAAGAAAGAGAGGATGATGGTGAACAGCGTGTATTAGGGTCCAGGGTCAGATGCTTCTCTTGAGACATAAGATACACTCGCTTTTTGATTTTTCTTTCCACTGCACTCCCCTTCTCGGTGTGGATGTCTTCTCCTTGTAAAGAACCGAAAACTGTACACCCTAGCCCAAGTGAAAAGGGGCCTTTGTTTTAGGGATAGAGAGTGACTCCCAGGACCCAGGGGAGGATGGATCGTTGAACCTCATGAGGGCCTGGAACCAGGAACTGGGCCGTTACCGGGTACCAGGAGTCTCTCCCTGGGCCACACAGCCTTTCATATGCCTGCCAGTTGCCTCATTCTTGTGCCACAGGCCAACTTTCTCTAGTCCTCTGTGCACAGTGGAGAAGATGTCCATCTGGGGCTGTTCCCTAAGTCTTGGTGTGGTCACCCAGTCTGGTGGGACTGGTGTCCGATCATTGCAATTCCTAATTCCCAGAACGGAAAATTTGATTAACCAGCTTGGGTCAGGTGTTTCCCTCATCCAGAAGGTTCTGTACAATCCCATCCGCTTAGAAGGGGCCACCGCTATAGTGTTAGGGTAAGGGTTTCTGAGGAAAGGAGACACTTCTTAAAGAAGGCACATGCCATAAATCCGGGGACATTTGCCTTATGATGCCAATAGTTAGAGTCACCTTAAAGCTTCTGAGGTCACAGTATGTGAACGGTGATCCTGAATCACTGAGAATACAAGTGGAATTCTGTATCCTCTGCTGCTAAGGTTGCAGCTATACCAGACCTTTGGAAAGGCTTCTTTCAGTAAAATCAAAGAAGAATAGTTAATTAAATTTGGTGCATGTACTTGGCAGGCTGAATAAGTGGAGGTATTGCCATATGCAGAGAAATGCCTCAGAAGAAAGTTGGATTTTTCCATTTATCCCCTTGCTTGCTAGCTAAGTGGCATTTTGTGGCTGAATTGCTTGACGGGAGTGAAAGGCAAGGGGCCGATTGTGGTTTCCAGATCTCTCACGTATGCGCATGAATTTTCATTGTCTGCTCTGATTTTCCCTGCAGGTGTGTGGGAATGCCCTCATGAAGCAGTATCAGGCCCAGTTCTGGAAGATGATGCTTCTCATCAAGGAGGACTACTTCCCCAGGTATTAGCCTTGTTGAGCAGACAGCACAGATTTGGGAGGTGAAACTCATGGCATCAGATACGCTTCGATGCTGTTAAAACCACCTGTATTAAGTGTGACATCTTATACTTCCGTCCTTCTCTTTGACATCTGAATAAACAGTTTTGAGCTCTAATAAGAGTCTCTCTTAAATATTGGTGGCTAAATGAAAAAAAAAAAAAAAAAGAGAACCCCAAATTAGGAAGATATTGGATTCAAATACCTGGCATTTTTTTAAAACTCTTTTCCAAAGGCCCCCAGATAATCTGTGATTACACGCAGTTTTGATTTAAACCAAGGAGTCAAACCTCCTCAATAAATCAGTTGAAGAAACGGACTTATCAGCCAGTTTCCCTGACTCTGGTGTGGCTTTCACCTTTAAGTGCCTGTCTCTCTCCTTTCCCCTTTCTGGCCTTAAAAGGGGAGGAAGGCCTTGGCACCCTCCCATCCCACCGGCTCACACAGATGTGGGGGAGGAAGAGCGCCCTCTGTCCCGCACCCCTTGTTTGAGACCATGTGGAAGAGCAGCGGCATTCTTAGTCCAGAAGGCCTCCCTGTGAGCCACCTGCTCTGCTCCTTCCCCAGCTCCTCTCCAAAAGACAGGCGTCCCTCACCACGTGTCCTCTTTCATCCCCACAGGATTGAAGCCATCACAAGCTCGGGACAGATGGGGTCCTTCATACGCCTCAAGCAGTTCTTGGAGGTAAGATACCCTTAGGCCGACACGTCCCACGTTGCTCTTGGCCTCGGGTGTGTTTGGGCCTGATGGGTCTTGGACGTCGAGGCTCTCTGATTGCTGTCTCTTCCTCTCGATGTTTCCCGAACCCCAGTTGTTTGCCCATGATTTCCCCTGAACCTGAAGGGCTGCCGTTTCTCCTTTCTACGTGTCGTTGCCCACACTGCCCCTGGGGAAGCCGCCCTAAGGGATGAATAAACACCATTCAATGAGACTTGTCTCACCGCCACATTTTTGACATGTAGGCCATGGTTCTGTTCTTAGTCTTGGGCCTGGAGAGCTGGTGAGTGTGCTCGCTTCTCCGTGAGAACAGACTGCACGTTCAGCCAGACTCCTCTCGTATTTCCAAGTGCCAACATTTTTAGTTGATCCTTCCCCGAGGACATTATTTTTCATTGCTTTTTTTTTTTAATTTTTTTTTTTTTTTTAGAGAGAGGGGAAAGGAAGGAGACAGAGAGGGAGAGAAACATCAATGTGAGAGAGAATCATCAGTCAGCTGCCTCTTCCATGCATCCCTACTGGGGACCAAACCCACAACTCAGGCATGCACCCCAACTGGGAATCGAACTGGTGACCCCTCACTTTGCAGGGTGACACCCAACCAACTGAGCCACACCAATCAGGGCTTTTTTTTCCTCTCTTTTTCTTTATTTTTTTTGAGAGAGAAACATCAATTGGTTGCCTTCTCACACGAGCCCCAGCCAGGGACTGAACCCACAATTTGGGTATATGCCCTGACGAGGAATCGAACCCTTGACCATTTGGTCTATGGGATGATGCCCCAACCAACCAAGCCACACTGGGGAGGACCAAGAGCCAACATTTTTAAGAAGTTTATTTTGACAGACAACTTAAAACTCTGTGGTGGTAGGTCTGCCAGCACAGCCCACTGACTTCCAGTTTCCAGTAGCCCAGTTGGGAAACCATCAATATTGAAAGATGAGGCCAGGCTATGGGAGATGAGAGGGGAACAGGCGTAGTAATAACATAACATTTGTCCTCTGTTGCAGTTCATGCGGAAGCAGACATCTTATACACAACCGTTAGTCCTACCACGTCTTCCCTTTTTTGACCACCACTCTGTGGGACTTAAGCTTGCAGTCCCTTGCAGGGGTGTCCAATCCGCGGGCTATCAATGTGGCCCAACACAGAACCATAAATTTACATAAAACACTTTTTTGCTCATCAGTTTTCGCGCACGCGCGTGTGTGTGTGTATGTTTAAAGTTCTTATTTTTATTTTTAGAGAGGGGACGGGAGGGAGAAAGAGAGGGAGAGAAACATCAGTGTGTAGTTTCCTCTTGAGAGCCCCCCACTGGGGACCTGGCCCACAACCCAGGCATGTGCCCTGACTCGGAATCGAACTGGCAGCCCTTTGGTTCGCAGGCTGAGGCTCAGTCTGCTGAGCCACACCAGCCAGGGCTGTTTGTGTATTTAACGCATGGCCCAAGACAGCTCTTCTTCCAGTGTGGCCCAGAGACGCCAAACGGTTGGACACTCCTGCTAAAGCTTCTTTCAGTTGTTAAGTGTTGGAAGCAGTGTTATCAGAAAATCACTCTGTTTTTTTCATCTCTCCCTGACCAGAAATGTTTGCAGTGCAAGGAGATTCCTGTCCCCAAGGGCTTTCTGACTGCCTTCTTCTGGCGTTCCTGATGCCACTACGTCACCCGCTGTCACCTTTTCATTGCAGAGGGGCAATAAAGCAACTAAACATAGCTATATTTGGGAGAGTCATGTCAGATTTAGACATCTATCAATATGTATTTTTATACATTTATACCTTAGGACTAGAAAAGGAGATTTTCACGGGTCAAAAAACCAAGGAGGTCCGATGACTCCTTAAAGGATCCACATGACAGAATACATGGATTTGGCCTGTCTCACTTTTGCAAAAATGAGAAGAGGTGTTTAGCCTTGGATACCATCTTTTATTTCCTTTGCCTCTGGTATCTGTCAGAAGTAAGGTAATACCTTAGTGTTTTACTGTGAGCTGAAGTGAGCCCACCACTTTAAAGTGTCATTTAGCAGTTGCATGAATCCTTACATGCAAGCTTGGGTTATGGTTGCTTCGCCTTTCTCAGCTTGTGAAGTAAGTAGGAATTCAGAGGAGATGCCTGATGTAGAGAGACATGCACTTAGTCCTCAGTGGCATCAGGGATAGCTTAGTGTCTGGGATTAGGATTTACCACGTCTCCCAGTGAACCAGGAAGCCCTGTTTGCCCTCCGAATTGGAGTTCAGTGCCTGGATGGCGAGCGATACAAGCAGCAGGGCAGATGCCTTCTGTTTGTTTTTCAGTTTGAATTAAGATGGGCTGCGGTGGGGCTGGCCACAGTACACGCGAGCTGTGCATCCACAAGCAATGAGTTAGGCGTTTCCTAAAGATGTTCAGAAGGAATTGAGAACTGCTACATAAATGTTTTTTGACTTGTTCTGACTAATAACTGATGACAGATTTGTCTGACTAAACCCATTACAAGAATCCAGAGCTTGGCTTCTCAGACAAAGTCGAGATTTGTTTATGGAAAGATACACTGCCTTTTGTGCCACGGAGTCTGTTCCTCCTAACTGCCGCGTGTGGGGAGGTGGGTATTTTCAGGGAGAGCGGGGATTCTCTGGTTCTGTTGAAGTGACCCTTTCTATGAATTATTTACTGTGGTGCCAAAAAATAAGCAATAAAGCTTGAATTTTAAAACTCTATTGCTGGTATCCAGTTGGGTCAATATAGTCAATTTCCTGTGCCTTGAGCTCTGTCAGTCACTGGGGGCATGGTAGTGCCCAAGTCTATCGATTTTTTTCCTTTTTTGTCTTTTGTACCTTCGCCTTAGGAAAATTGCTGAGTTTTGTTTTTTTTAATCATCCCTTTTCGGAATTAGGCACCAGTCACCGGTCTTGTTTTATCTAGCACAGACGGGAAAATACTAAAGTCTTGCAACGTGGACACAATGGAATGAACACGGAGACCCCGGCTCGGTTCGCTTTTAGGTTTTGTGGCTTGGGTAGGTGGTTCACCCTGTCCTCAGGAGCCTCAGGAGCCGCGCCTGCAAAACACAAGAGCTGGACGAGTCAGTAGATCGGCAGGCTTCAGGCCCTGCTCCGCAGCCGAGTCTCAGCAGAGCCTCCCAGCTTGTGTGTCACCATGCGCGCTGCTGTGCCCTGCCCGCCTGCAGGCCCCAGGGCCGGTTGCCATTTGACTGTCCCCCCCTCATCTGTGCTTTACAAATGGCATCGTCATCTCTGTACCATCACGGGGGATGCGCTGACAGTGGGGCTCAACGCTGGAGTCAGTCATCGCACGGAGGCTTTATGCGTATTTTCATAAGGCGCCCCTTTCTTCGAGATACCTCTGCTGGGAACTTGTCCTATTCCTAACGGAAGATGTGGGATACTAGCGGTGAACGGGGCCAGCTACCAGCATGCAGCTCACGACTCGCACCGCTTCGTGGGGCCCGAATGGAGCCCTGGGGTCCTCTCTGCCGCAGCACTTCTGCTTCCCGTGCTCTGTGTGTTGGGGTTCCGTGTAAGGTGATGCACGAAGAAGTTCCTCTGCCAGAAACGAAATGGGAAAAGTCCCTGGACAAGACAGATCCTCAAGGTCTCTCCTACTTTTAATTTATGTCACTACCGCTTCTCCCAACGTTTGAATGTTCTGTCTCTAGACCCGTTGAACAAGTCATGCACATGCCATTCAATGCCTGGTACTCCGAATGGGTTCCTGATTATCAGCCAAGAAGAGGGTGTTGGGGAGGCCGGGTTTTTGATACCCACCGGTGTCACCTTCGGAGATAGTGACTGCTAGCTGATAGATGCAACTCCCGCTGGGTAGCAGCGTCAGATTCCTTAGGGTAGAGCACGGAGGACTGCAGCCTGCTTTTAAATTCAAGTGCTCGCCTGCTGGCTTCCTTTCGGGCTTGACCTCATTTCTCTGGCAGAGTGCCCATATTTTTTGTCATATCATTGTCCTACATCATTTTTAAGCAAATTTGACGATGAATTGAAAATTCCCATAGAGAAATCCTGCATGTCCCTTGAAGAGTGGAGTTCCGGGGATTTCCGCGCAGGCCCTGGGAGCCTCCCCACGCCTCTCAAGCTTCCTGTGATGAGAGCAGTAACATAACTAGGTTGGGGTGTCTGCTCTCAGTGCCACGACAACCAAAAGAGCCCCAGAGCTTTACACAGATGCCTCATCAGGCCTGGGAATCCATGCCCTTTTGTCTCTTCCACCTGACGAATTCCTGAAATTGATTTTCTGTGGACACGCACAAAGCAGAGAGCTGTGGTCTCCCAGCTGTGTGATGATGCATTTACAGAAACTCCCGTTTTAAAGGGGTTTGTCCTCTGCAGCCAGGCTTTGTTGTGTTTTTTTAAATGTTACTTTATACGGATGACATATTCAAGAGAAACATTTCTTTCAGTGCCTTCTGGATGATTACGCTAAGCGTGTTATGTGACCCTGGATCAGAAAAGTGTCTTTTTGTGTGTTTGTGTTATAAAGGACCTTGGGACAATGGCAAAACTTGAATAAGGTCTGTATGTTAGAGAACACAGGGCCTGGCAGAAGGCCTGGTCGAGTGGCGTTGGTAAGGTAATAATATGGGTGTAATAATTTAGTTTTAATTTGAACATTTCACCTAAACTCATATGGCGTGCTTGAGTGTGATATTGTTATGTTACAGAATTGCATGCTTATGATTTTGTAATAAAGAATTTTGTAATAAAAAGGGGTTGTTATTTGTGCTGGACCCTGTAGTGTTGTGTCAGTATTAATTCCAGCTTTGAATACTATACTGTGCTTATAAAAATGAACGTTTTTATTCTTCAGAAATACACATGAAGTACTTGGGGTGAGTGGGCATGATATCTCTAACGCTTATGATTCGGTGCGGGTGAATATATGTTTACACATACGTGTGTGTGTACATAAATAAGTGTATAATACATAGACAATAAAGCAAATGTGGCCAAATGTCAACAAATGGGGGGATCTGGGTGTAGGGTGTATGGGATTTCATTCTATTCCTGTTCTTTTCTGTAAATTTGAAAGTATTTCAAAACTAAAAGATAATCCTCTTCCCCCCACCAAAAAAAACGTTAACAGTCTAATGAGGTGACAAAATCAAGCTCTAGAACCTACAGTGAAGGCTACATTGAAGCTGTCATCAGCCTGTGGTAGGAGTGGAGATTTGATTCCAAACAGGTTTTACAAGATGCCTCCTACTTAAAGTGAAACAGGTGCTTGGAGAGTGGAATTTTAATTCAATGGAGACATGTGACTTATGGACTTGGAAGGCTTGGTGATTTGAGCTGAAAGTTAGGGGAGCTGAGAAGATAGATCCATTTTGCTTAGGGCAGCTTCTCCCAGAGAATTTTTCTGCAGATCCTAAAAAAAACAAAACAAAACAAAACAAAACAAAACTCAGTGGTCAAAAAAGTTTGGGAACTATGTACTGGGTTCAAAGTCCACGAAGTGAAGTAATAGGTGCAGCGAGAATGGCAGTGTTGGTGATTCCAGGTGGCGATGTGTGTGCGGAGGTTCCTTGCAATGCTCTGTTTACTAGGTTTATCTTTGAAACCTTCCATGATACAATGTTTCAATTCTAAATCAAAGAAAAAAAGGACTTTTTCTTGCGGGAACTTTTGGTGCCTTTGTTGCTTTGAGTTGTTAATCTCCAAACTGAACATGAAATTCCATATATCCAGAGCTTCTCTTGGGCCTAGTATTTCTGGGAATATTCTTTTTTTTTTTTTTTCTAGATTTTATTTATTTCCCTGGCTGGTGTGGATCAGTGGATTGAGCGCTGGCCTGCGAACCAAACGGTCGCCAGTTTGATTCCCAGTCAGGGCACAGGCCTGGGTTGTGGGCCAGGTCCCTGGTGAGGGGCATGTGAGTGGCAAACACATTGATGTTTCTCTCCCTCTCTCTAAAAATAAAAATAAAATCTTTAAAAAAAAAAAAATGGCTCTGGAAAGAAGGAGTGAATTTGTGGACCCTCTGGAATCTCTCCTTAGTTTGGGTGACTCTAGGCAATGAAAAGATACTGAAGTTTTTTTGAGACCCAGGGTGGGTAGCCCAGTTGGTTAGAGTATCATCCCAATACACCAAGGTTGCCAGTCTCTGGTCAGGGCACATATAAGAGTCGATCGATGAATGCATAAGTAAGTGGAGCAACAACAAATTGATGTTTCTATCTCCCTTCCTCTCTCTCAAATCAATAAATAAAAATTTTAAAAAGTTTTTTTTAGGAGGCCTGACACTATTTTAATTGATTTTAGAAATAGAGGAAGGGAGAGAGACGGAGAAACATGGATTTGTTTCACTTCTTTATGCATTCATTTGTTGATTCTTGTATGTGCCCTGAACAGGGAGGGATCAAACCCACAGCCTTGGCCTATGGGACGACACTTGACAACTGCAGCTCTCTGGCCATGGCCGTTACACTCTTGCTGTTGTGTAGCCATCACCACCGTCCACTCTGTCATCTTCCCAAACTGAAACTGTCCCCATTAAACACAGACTCCTGATTTCCCCTCCCACAGCCTCCGGCAACCCCTGCTCTACTTTCTGTCTCTACGGATTTGACTATTCTAGGGACCTCATGTAAATGGAATCCACAATAATTGCCTGTCTGGGTCTGGTTTATTTCACTTAGCATGTCTTCAAGGTCTTTCCAGTCACTGTTTGGAAGCTCCGTGCTGTTCCTTGCCAGCCCAGGCCGTCATCTGGGAAGAAGTGCCGCCACTTGCCAGCCAGACTCTCTCATTGGGTTGAAAAATAATGGAAATGCTGGTGTTTGCTTGTTTGCTTTGCTGTGTCTGTGTGTGCATGTGTGCGCGCGCGTGAGAGAGGGAGAGGGAGGGAGAGAAGGAGAGGGAGAGAGAGAGACACTTGACACTCCCAGGGAGAGAGGGCAGGTAACTTTCCATGGCTGGGACATGGGAAAACATTATCACACTTAGTGTATTTCCCAGTGGTTGACCTCTTGAACAACTTTAAAAGGTAGTGGGACTACTGAGATGCCTAATCTTAGGGCACACATCAAACCTTCACAGAACAGCTGGAATAGCAAAAGGAACTTAGAATTCAGCCCTACCTCCTGCTTTTCAGGCCAGGAACAATGTGATTGAGGACAAGGAGTTGGTTGGTTATGGGAGCAACTGTCCAGTGTTTGGGGTTTTTTTGTTTTACATTTTTTTCTGAATGAGTGTCAGACAACAAAGAGTGTCATTATCTGCTTTGTCATCTCCCTCTTCCCACACCTAGCAGAGGGTTAGGTATGCTGTGAAATGGATGGGAGGTGAAGTAGGCAGACAATAGAACACGTGAAGACAGGCTTTAAAAAAAAAAAGTCTCATCTCCAGTGCCAAATGCTGAATGGGGTGGGTGGGTGAGTGGGAGGTAGAGAGGGCTGGAGATACTGTTTTTGGCCTTGTCTCAGATCAAAGGATCAACGAATAAGATTTTAGTTTCTATATCAGTACAGAAGCTCCTTCTAAGGTATCCAATCTGTTTTGCGTCTGGCAGAGGCAGCAACATCTCCATTTCATTATGAGGCCAGAGTGATTTTAAAGAAAAATCCTCCTTTTTATAGCTCCTGCCCACAGTCTTCAGACCCATTCTTTTGCTGGAGTGGGACTTAGAAGTTTTGGAGAGCTATGATTGTGTTAGCTCTTTTGCACCCAGAGCTGAGTATTATTATTATTATTATTATTATTATTATTATTTTGCTGTTGCCCACTGAGGAAGAGGCTGTGGACGCCACCAGCTGTTCCCAGAAGAGCACACCCCAGGGAGGAGTTAGGGGGCTCTATTTTCTCTACATTGTAGATCGCAGGAAATGCCTTCTAGCTCCTACGTTTTTCCTCCAGATTCTGTCAAGCTGCTTGGGTGTGGCCAATCCTTTTCTTTTCTATGGACTCTGATGACTGTGGGAACAGAATTTTTCCTCACTATCATGGCTACAGCCAGGGTGGCTTAGAAACCGGATTGCAGGTCCCAGGCACAGGGGAAGCAGCCAGACTGCGGAGGATCAGGAAGCTCGGGGCTGGGCCCGGGCCCAAGTTCTGGTGTTGTGCCCAGCGTCTTTATATTTATTTAAAGAGGAGGGCTGCTTGGTAACCGCGAGGCCGAGGCTTCCTGAGCAGTAGAGCTCCAGGTCTGCCTGACTTGCACAGGAATGATCCCAGTGTTACTCCCAACGGCTGACGCCCAGCTGTGGCCCCAGGGAGGGTGGGGGTGGGAAAAGGGCATCCTAACCCAGGGCTCAAACTGCCAAGACTGTAAGGAACAGAAACTCCAGAAATCTCATTTTTCTTTTCTCGGCACCCCAGCATCCACCATCATAATGCCTCCCTTTCCTATGGGAAGGCAGTATCGCATCCTGTGTAATAGAAGGGCCTGGCTCCTGGATTGGGTTCAGCCTTTCCTCTTGCGAGCTGCCTGATGGAGGGCAAGACTCCCAGCTTCCATGTCAGGGTGCTCGTTTGCAAAATGGGGAAATAACACCCGCCTCATAAAATCACATCAAAGACTTAAAAAGAAAAAAAAGTAACACATGAAATGCTGAGCATAGTGCCGGGTACATGAGGAAAGTTCAATTAATTGTGGCAAGCAGAATCTTAATGTCTCCTTTAGAAAATACAATTAGTGCACCCTATTCCACGGTGACCTCTGAGAAAGCTTCTGCTGTGAGTTTATAAGGAATTACTAACTCTCCAAATCCCGGAATGACAGACTTCAATTCTAAATTAGTCGACTTTGTTTTTTAGGATCGGATTTGGCCTTTTCTTACCGCCTCCTCAAACCCGGCGCCCCCAAGCCATTCTCGGTTTCTGATCCCACACCCCACCAGCATAGGCCGACTTGCGTCCCCGGCCCCAGACGTCTCCTCGGGAAAGTAGGCAGGAGGAAGAGAAGCACACGGTGATCTCATCCTTTGGGACTGGGTGTTTTTCCGGCCGGGGCGCGCAGCATCCCCAGCCACACTGCAGCGCTGACCCCTGCCCCGCCTTTCGCTGCAGTCCTGGAAGGGCTCCCAGGGGTGGACGGGTGGGGTTCAGAAGACTGTCTGCAGCGCAGGGAGGGGCAGGATTGGAGGATCCAAGCTGCGGGGTGGGTGGGGCGGCTGGAGCATCACGGCCCGCCCGGGCGGAGGCAGAGACTCGACTGCACGACCGACCCCCATCCCTGGCGCGCGCCCTCCTTTCTCATTCTCCGCGTCGCACCCGCAATCGTCTTTTCTCCTGCACCGCCGCTTCGGCGCCTTCCGGGAGCGCTCGGCCCTTTCCGTCGGACGATCGGGAGGCGAGCTGGTGGAAGCTCCGCCCCCCCTGCTCTGCCGGCGCTCGCCCCCGCCCCTCGTGCCTAGCCGGGGCGCTTCCCTCGCGCTCGCGCCCGCCAGCCACTGGAACGCGCGTGGCCGCGTATAAAAGAGGCGGGGCGCGCGCGTCGCCGCCACTACCCGCTGCGGAGCGAACGGCTAGGAGTGGAGGCCACGGAGGATCGTTGGTCCCTCAGCAACGCCGAGTCCCACGCACCCACCGCGCTCACCCGCAGGAACTGGTGAGACCGGGAGCGAGGGAGCGCGGGCGGAAGCGGGGCCGGAGGGCAGCCGACCCCTGGGCGGGGAGCCGGGTCGCCCCCGAGGAGGGGCGGGGCTAGCGCGCGGACAGGTGAGCCGGGCCGGCCTTGCAGCTTCCTCAGGCGGGCGGGGAGCCGGGGAGCCGGGGGAGCCGGGCGAGCCGGTCGCGGCGGGCTTGTGGTACGTGGGCTGCGGAGG